AAGCTATTACTTTATGCTTTATATATATATTTTAAAATTTAAGTACAAATAAATATAAGTTTATTATTTAATTTAAGAAATAGTTATAATTAGTAGAGATATCTTTACTTAATAGAATTAAAGTTATTCTAGAATTATAAGCTAAATCTATAGTCTATAATAATCTTTTATAATAGTATATATAGTATTTTATTAATTAAAGATTATAGAAATTTTCTATTTTATTTTATTTTATTCTATTTTTTCTCTTAGTATTTTATTTTCTATCCTATCCTAAATATAGAGCTAGAATAGGATTCCTATTCTATTTAATTATATAAAACAGAAATCCTAATCCTAATTTTAAAATAGAATAGGATTTCTATCTAGATAAATCTTAAAAACAGGATTCCTATCCTTATCTTAGTATTATTTTAGGATTTTGAGATAGGACAGGATTTCTATTTCCTATCCTAAAATCCCAAAATCCCATCCTATCCCGAAATCCCTGGGATTATCCTGTCCCAACGGTCAGCCTAGCTCTACTATTAATTAATACTTTAACTTTTTTCTAGTCTGCTAGTATATATAGCTTTATCCATATACTTATTAAATTATTTAGTTTTTGATTAGTCTTGATCTCTAGAACTGTAGCTATATTATAGTTTTAGATATCTAGTTTTTTAATATATTAGCTATAGTTATTGTTAGTTCAGATCTAGCTATATAGTAATCTCTACTCTAACAGAGAGAGACTTTTTCACCTAGGTGATCCTTGTATTCTTCCTCATGGTTACAAAGGGTGGGGAGAGGGGAGCAGACAGTTCATATGTACAAGGATAAATCAACAAATAAACGACATGAAAGAGTTTAGGCTCTAAAATCAGTTTGCATTGAAAATGCTAGACCAGGACATAGATATAGAAGCAGCAGAATATCCTTGTACATTGAAAAAGTGCAATGGACGCCTAGATGCCAAATGAGAAACCCTAGGCAAAACAGCAAACCATAGCGAAGAAGATCACGTTACCGTGAAATATGACAACCAATGAAGAAACGTCTTGGCATGAGAGCACAGCCAATCAGAGCGAAGGCTGGGGCAGGTTTTGGCAGTGTGATTACAGCGTCATTTTGCAGGCAGCTCGCGGGCGGTAGTAACCCTTTCACTCAGTTCCTTCGTTTCAGGGCACAAACACCTGGCATATTAGTCTCTAATGGATTTCACAGGTTCTAGGAGTTGAAATGCAAATTGCTTCATTGTTATTCCTCTACAGTGCAAATTCCTCTACGCTGCCAACCACCCATCCGGCGAAGGCGGTGGGTGGTTGGTCCCGGCATTAATAATTCCCAAGGGAAATTCACGTGTGGGAAATGGGACGGGAAACGGGATATGATTTTTAAGGTAAGAGGGAATGGGAATATCGCGAATGGGAATATGGCACCCCGAATCCCTTCCCGAAAGACTTGGCACGGGGTGGGAATCAGAATGCAATTCCCATTGGGACTATGGAACGGGACTTAAACCCACCCTTCCGGGATCCCGAATCCCATCCCAACAGTCTGCCTAAATTACAGCCGATCAACGGCGCCAGGATGATTAGACGAAGAGCTGATTCATATGAAGCTATCTAAATAAGTGTATTTACCATACTAATGAAGCTTTCTACCTAATAGGAGATGGACGTCCAATCACTCAGGGTTCCTCAGGCGACCTCCTGGTAAACAAAGAGAATTGCATAATACAACAGAAAACCTCTTATGGCGAAGGCCACACTTTCTCCCTTCCACATGACTAGCAAGGGAAAATAAAAATCCAAATAAAGGCAAGAAACCTAGGTAAAGACAGTAATAAGCCATCACTTAATTATAGATGGTGGTGTTGTCCCGTTGGTTGGTGGGCTTGAACATGGTGCCTGCTTTTAGCAAACCTTCTTGAATGTGCCATCATCTTGATGCTCGACTACCCCCTCAAATTCCCAATTACCTTTGGCACCTTCACGAATGCTGTGGAATATCAGTATCAGCAATAGATGAGCACTTCGTTAGTGGAAAAGAAACTCACATAAGACGAGACTTCCCTGGATTTCCACCGCTGTAGCCTTGGTTTTTTGGGTCAATAGGGTACTCCATTAACCTTCCTCCTTTCCTGAAGGTCTTCTCAAAGTTCTTGTATTCATGTGGGTAGTTGGCTTCCCCGACCCCCAAAATATCAGTACCCCTATCCAAAAGTTGAACCAGTGCAGAACTTACATCCAGGAGCGGTCTTTCCTGACTTAGCATAATCTCTAGCCTCACGGAATGCCTCTTTAGCCCAAGTGGGAGGGCTGCGCTTCGCAGATGACCCACTAAAACACCTGTCAAGGGCTTGAGAGCTTTCCTGGCTAATCTCACCTTCTACAGGTGATACTTCACCTTCAGCCTTGGGAGTACCTTCGCCGGAGCTACCGGGGGCTTCCTCATCCAAGTTGATGAGTTGCGTCTCGGGTTCCTTGGGCGGAGGAACCTCACTCACATCGCCCTCAAATATCGTGGGCTTAGTAGCAGCGGTTCCAGCTCCCGCAAGGCCTGCGGTGTTTGCGGAATTCACACCAGTGTTTCCAGTGTTTCCAGTGTTAGGTGCTCCGCCTCCCGATCCGATCCCCGATCCCAGCCCTGATCCAGTGCCTGACACGATTCCTGAGCCTACCTTACCCAGGGTTCCAAGTCCTACTCCCGCTCCTATTCCCAGTCCTGTTCCTACAGCTGCTCCTACTCCTGATGAGCCGCCTCCATTTGCAATTCCAACTAGCCCATCAGGTTTGGATACGCCATTCTGGTTGGGTGACTGAGAGGAGCCTCCATCATTTTTGGTAGCATCGTCTGGTATGTTGACATACTCCACCGCATTTTGATTCAATGGAGCTGGCGGTGCCTGAGCGGTGCCATCCTTGCCCTCATAAAAGATCTCAGAGGGCTCGTCAACAGTGAGTTGGCTGTTCGTGTAGGCTCTCGGATATTGACGACCGTGTAATGCGTCATCCAACACAGCTATGTGTTCTTCAGACTTGCCAGCATACTGAGGTGCTCCAAGTGCTGCTTGGAAGGCAGTCTGCAAAGCTATAATAGCAACGGCTGCCCGCATCGTTACGTATAGTATCACTGGCAATTAAGGATTGGGAATTGGATTGCGAGAAACAAGAGCGTGCGTTTATTGCTTTTAATGGGGTATCAACACGGGGATATGGGTGTATTTATATTATAGCTGTCTATTCGCTTTACGTAACCTTTTGATGCTATTCACTAGGGTAACTCTCTGGTGCATCTCGATCAGTCATGAAACACTCCATCTGAATAGTCTCATCGTGTGTACCTATTTCCTTAGAACATACCAAGATTACTGATGGCCTGATGCCAACGATGCACCAAGATACATTTGTTCTAGACTTCTGACGGTATCCATCATGCCATTTAATCCACAACTGAGCCAGATTGGTCTTCCAGAATCCCCTCAAATCATCAAAATGACGATATCTGGCTATCCACTCAGTACCTCCCGGCGTAGTGAAACAAGTGCAGGCACCCGTATATCTGTAGACAATGGCGATGGCATCATCGCGAATGTTTAATCTAGCCAGTTGGAATCTTCCTGGAAGGGCCTAGATATCCTGTGGGTGGATATCTGCTGTCTAACTTTCACACGGCACTTCGTTTGGGATGCCATATCGGGGGATAAAACATTGGTGCAATCAGATAGTATAGGACTGGCAACTGTAGTGAAGGCGTCTTATGAAGTCTGGGCCCAAAGTGGTTGCAGATCGCTTCGCGCTCGGGACTGTACTAGATTTGTTAGGCCCAGCCCACGAAACCTGGCCCAACCCAGCCCAACCCGCCAAGAAATGGGCTGGGTTGTCTAATGCAATAACCCGGCCTGGGCCGGGTTACTTCCCTGGGTGGCCCACGGATCAACGGTTAGCCCGCGGGTTGTCAAGAGATAAAATACAGTAAGTATATTACTTACCTACTAAAATCTAAATATAAAATACAAATATATTACTGTATTTATATACTGTATTTTATTAATATTGTAAATTATTACCTTATTAGGAAATAATATACTACTATGGTCCCCCGCGGGTGGTCCACATATACAGTAAAACCTCTTTATAACGAGCTAATTCAGACACGCACTTTTAATCGTTATAGAGAGGTTTCGTTATACTAAAAGGGTATAGTGCTATAATCTGACCTGGTAAATCTTCCACGTGATTATTTCTTCCTATAACGAACTTTTGTATGTGTTTGAAGAACCACTAGGCTAGGCCTAAATAGGAATAGCTTAGGGAAATAGATGCTAGTACTAAGATATATTAGATATATCTTAGAGAAGATAAATCAAAGAAAGAGAGAAAGAAATAAGAGGTAAAAAAGGAAAAGAATATAGAAAGAGTATAAAAAAGATAAAATAAAAAAGAAATAAGGAAAAATAAAGAAGGAATAAAGGTTAGGAATAGGATCAGTATGGTAATAGGTATAATAAATAGTAAGTATGGATACTTTCCTAGTTAGGAAAGGTAAGATAAATATAAGAAAGAGAGAATAAAATTGCTTGATTGTTTTAACATGACTTTATACCCGAAACCAGGGTTCTTGGCACACAGCGTATTCAGGGTTGCACTAACCAGTAACTAAAATTCTACACAGTAGTGCGTTTTAGCCAGGCAATAAAGTTTAGTAAACCTCTCAATTAATAATAACTATAAATGTCTATAATCAACGAAATAAATTAGATAATTTAGTATCAAAAATCTGACTGCTAAACTACGTACTAAAGCTTATATTTATATGTTAATATGAGAGCTCGCGAAGCAGGCAGCAGTGGCTTGAGCTCAGTTAAATTATCTCCGCGGAAATGCAGTATTGAATAGTCGCAATCTTTTAGCGGTAATTTATATTTCCATCCATTTAGTGCCCTGAAACCAGGCATGGTTAAAGTTTGTCAGGCTATGATCCTTGAGCCTGTCTACTGGGGTGGACAGAAGGACGTGATAGGCCCAGTTCTACCAAACACTGCTCCTCGCAACGATCTGGTTCTTTAATTATCCTCAAGCCGTTTAGAATTCCGTCTTTAGCCTTGCATTCGAAATATCTGTCTAAGCCTTCTTCGCCAATAAAGGATTATGTAACTCCTCATAATAGCTCCTTATTATCTCTCACCCAGGAAAGTTGCTATGGTCCTTGTTTCTAACAGTGTCATTATCAAAACATTCCTCTGGGACTTCACACCCTATTCATCTTCCTGCACTATACTCCAAAGTAGCCCATTTAAACCTATGAGGTTCAAATCTGCTGTGAGATGCGGCGCGAAACACCCGCCTGTTCTACCAGGAAGGAGGCAGCGTGTATATTTAAGACAACAATTCATGGGCTCCCGGCTAGCAATAGAGTGGGTGGCTTCAAATGGTCACTACAAGATTAGGATAAACCAGTTACAATACGAGCTTTGCTCCACTTATCCAATAGTTCCCATAGCACAATATTCAAAGCCTTCCATTTCATAATTCTACCCATTATGCCTGATTTTCTCACTTCTCCATACTCCGTTCAATATTTTCCATAATGATTGTGGTCTGAACAGCCATCTGACGGCTGTCTGTGCCCAATACCTCACTGACCTCTTTAAATCGACGTTTCCACCTCTGCCATACTTCTAGGGATAATCCATCACAGCCGTGCACATCCTGACTTGGGGAAAGTAGATATTGATAGAGGCATCGCCCACTGTGTGTGATCCACTCGATGGCAACTCTAACGTTGCAATCGAGTTCTGGACCATCTACAGGCTCATCCAATGCATCACGTAGTGCCCAGACGGCAAAAGAGATCCACAGGACCGCATCAAGGTTCAATAAGCGCGCCGCAAATGAATTAAGATTTATCCATTGATCTACCTCATCGGTATTACTGCGATCGCTATCATAGGTGGGAGCTAATCAATGTAGGTGGGAACTGTCAGCTGTGTTGAGGGACTCAAAATTTGTTGTCATAAACAGTTTTTCTTTTGTTCTTTTTTTTCCCCAGATGACAGGGGGTCAGGGACGACGTACAAATCCATGCCTCTCTCATGCTTGGTCCGAAAATGGGAAGGTCGGTCCAAACCTGTCTGGTTTTCTACCATATGTGGTATTAGCTTCACTCTCAAAAGAGCTCGAAGATTGCAACAATGTACACTTACTTCCCAGATTTCCACCTTTATCGGCACTAGAACAGTGAGAGATCGGATGAGCTCTACCAGTCGACCCTGCCAGGGGTGGTCATGCGGGATCTGCTTGGCTACATGTATAAAAATGCCCCAGGTGCTCCATAAAAATAGTTCCACGTCGTCGCTATAAGAGTAACTGGCGCGTCTCGTAGGAACCAGACTATTAATCTTTTGAGCAGCAGCAGCAGCAGAGGATTTGACGTCGGAAGACTGCAGGTACTCCTTTAGAATAATAAAAAGCTCTAGTTCGGGTTTTAGAGGGTTGTCGGTCGCGTAGGACTCGAGGTGCAAACGAGGAGCTGTCATTGCGGTATTGAGAGGTGGACGCCGTTTTTTCGAGAGAAGTTGATCAAAGTATGGTGCTTGGGTTCGGTTTTAAATAGACTATGACACGTAGCATATTAGTACACTGTCATCGGTCCAGAAACGAGTTCAACTGCCAAGATCATGATTCACGGGAACTTGAATAATTGCAGATGAATCGGCGGCAAAGTGACCCACATCGTGCAAGACGAGGTGGCAGGGCAGGTTCTAGATTTTTGATAAGGTGATAATAGAGTTCAGGGAGTTTCATACCTCTAAGTTTCATAGCTCTAGGCCCAGGGGTTTTATTTCAGGGAATTGTTATTTGGACGAGACGCTATACCTTAATAAGAAGGTAAATCTAGTCATGTGATCATAAAACCGCACTAGTAAATCCCTTTTAAATGCATATATACGATATCACCATATAAAAGGTGTTTCCTAAAGGCCTATGAAAAGTGCAAAAAATGGACGATTTTCTTGATGATTATGGGATCGTTTTCTCTGACCAATCAGAGCCTGAGGATCAAAGCGAAAATAATTAGATCACTATCCCAGAGGAGCCTTTATCTCTGTTGTAAATTGCCCCCCCAACTCTTTCCAACCATGAGGAAGAATATAAGGATCATGTAGGTAAAAAAATCTCTCTCTGCAGCCTCTGTATATAAAATGGCAACTGTATCTATGCTTGCTTTTTTTAATATTTTAAAAGCCCTGTACTTATGGCCTGCCCTGCAGTTTGACCTTTCCTAAATAATAAGTGCTTATTAATATGGCTTCAGTCTGTTCTGGGTGTCTGAGACTGTGGGATTGAACTCAATATAAGACTTGTGATACTTGCTGCCATTACTCAGCACTGTAGCCCTTAGGTCACTGCCTGAATCCAAGGTTTTAATCTTCTACTCAAAATTCCATAACAATACCCTTATACATGTTAGGACTATTATCTTCTATTGATAAATAAACTCTCAGGCCTGACTGTCCAGTTAATCCAATACAGTTATAAGGCTCTGTAAAGAGAAGGTATAGTCCACTGTCTTTATATCCAGAAGAAAAAAGACCACGGATCATAGTTCCAGACAGAGTATAAGTGTAACGGCTCAGGCCAATGTAGATAGATTGATTCTATTGGGTAGCTCTAATACGAGAGAATTGCTTGAAGAAGAGAATATCCCACAAGCGAAGCTCTGTGAGATATCATCTATCTCGAATACAAACAGAACAAACAAGAATCCTGCACTACTTGCTGATATTCACTATAACTCGGCAGCCTGTATAGTGACTGCGCCGTCACAATAAGGGTGTTTAAATCAGGCACCGGGTTTTATATATAATAAGTTAAAGACACGGGCTATTATCTTTAATTACTTCTTCTCCAGAATCTCTTATTCCTATAAACAGGAATCTGTGATTAGATATAAAGACATAATTTCTGCTACTACTAATAGAGGCCTTTATTATTCTTATGGTAAACTTGTTTCTACTATAAATATTTACCAGGTTAAAGGCAGGGATAGATTATTACTACTATTAAAAGAATGCCTTAATATTTATAGTCACTATAGAAATAACTAGATACTTTATTTTCTATATTATAATATACTTCTTTAGAAAATAATCCCTAAGTTCTTTATTAGACTTGTTAGGCCCAGCCCACGAAACCCGGCCCAACCCGGCCCAACCCGCCAAGTAATGGGCTGGGTTTGTGTATACAAAAGTCCATACCGGGCCGGGTTATTGACTATCCCAGCCTATGGGTCAACGGGTTAACCCGCGGGTTGCCAAGATATAAAATACAGTAAATATATTATTTACCTACAGTAATATAAATAAATTACAGTATCAAGAGACTATATTCTATCAAGAATGTAAATCATTACTCTACTAGAAAAGGATCTACAGCTGTGGGCCCCCGCGGATGGTTCACATATATATATTTTGACCCGTGGGTGGTTTGCATACAATCTTGACCCGGCCCAAACCCAACAGGCTGGGTTGCAAAACCTGAAAAACCCGGCCCAACCCGCGGGCCTAACAAGTCTACTGCTGTAACTAATATAGGCCTATTTCATCAGTAGTCCAGCCATTTATACTTGTTTCTATATACCAATCTGGTAGTAGATCTATCTTATACTAGCCCTTAATATAGACCTTGTTTTTAAAGATAATATAAGATAAAAGAGCTGTTACAGACCCTTGTCTAGTGCCCTTATCAGACGCGGAATCAGGCGGCAGAACCAGTGACACAACAAGACACTAGCACCAAGAAAGGGAAAAGCACCAAGAAACACCCAATTATGTGAGCAACTATCATGTACACATAATTATCGGATCACGTGACCAGAACATGTCACCGACAAGCTATAACATGGCAGCGCTACGACCGGAACATGTCAGCAACATGATATGACATACCGGCAACATAATATATCATGGCAGCGACATGAGGGATAGGAATATATAAGGACACTCATTCATGTACTTAGAATAGTTCTTTGTGATCAATCAACATTGTTACTTAGGATACACCTTTGGTATCAAGTTAGTATTCAACTCATTTGCACTTCCTTAACTATTAAGTATACGTACTTAATAGGCCTGGCCTTTTGGACTTGAGCTACACACCGAACCTTGTTACACCCATCGGACCTCGGATTAGATCACTCTTCAAGGATCCTGGATAGGATCATATTCGGAACCACAGTCGTTCACATTGCAGAGACGCATAGGTCTCATCGTCAGGTTAGTTATCGCTCAACGCAAGGCAGCTAACACTTAGGAGCTCTTGACCGAATACCCGGGCGTAACAAGAGCCTAACCAGTAGAGTTAATATACTTAATAGAAATAATCTATTCATGATTTCCTGGCTATAGTAGTTTAGGCCTTCTATATATTACTACTCTAGTAACTACTTTAGTAGTAGATATCAGGCCCATTATAAAACCAGTCTTATTAAAGTTATAGATATTGTCTAATGTAATGCTATACTGTATTATAGTAATCTGAACCCAATTAAACCACTCATGTATAAGTTCAGGATCCTCACACTTGGCATATTAATAGTTATAATAGCGGAAGAAGTAAGTTTTCAGCTTATCTCTATATTGAATCAAATTATATATCCATTTTTCACCAACAGTAGTAGGAGTGATATCACCACGTTTAGCAAGTAAAATATTGGCCATTTCTTATACATATACAGGCCAGGGGGCTGCTCCACGTTAATCTAATAATATAATCCAGTGTACCAATGAATCCTCTTTATTTTGAGTTAATTTATGGCCATTGGCATGTGCTTCAGCATGAAAAGTATGCCTCTTTAATCATTCTTGAAGCGTAGAATAAGGAACATTAAAAAGACATGAGACTTCCTGAATACTGCTTATCTTCTGATCTTTTAAAGCCGAAATGGCTAATAAGATCTTCCCTTCCTGCTCCACTTGAGCTTTAGAGCTTTTGGGCATCTTTGGCTGTATGGTTGATGGTTGAATAGTTTCATTTCTGGGAGGTGCGGAAAAACGCGCGGGTTGACCGGCTCGCTTACCGGATACGTTATAACTAAGTCTTAATCAGTACTCATTATTCTCCGCATACTAATGAATACAGTCCTGGGTTCACCTCTCCTCAGCAGCAGGATGACAAAAGAATTGAGGTGCCCAAGTTTGCCATATATATGGCTCCTGTGCTATCCAGTCTAATTCCTTGCGGTATTTGAAGGTACGGGCTTGAACAAAAAGGCTAACAGAGCTAAGACGCAGGCAGGCTACCGGTCAGGCTATATACAGGCAGATAGACAAGACGTAGCTTGAAGATCTACCACAGGATCAGGATCAGGCGGGAAGATAAACAGGTTAGAGCTATGTGATAAAGCGGTGATAACGGTATAAGCACCCCAAATACTATACTGTATATAGATTGGGGTCGAGTCGCCTATCCGCTTAATCATACGCAAGTGATCTCGAGACACCGCGCGAGGATAGTCCAACCCAACGTCAATTTACAGAATATATCGATTTCTCGCAAATATCTAGATTATTCCTATATTGTGCCACTAGTTACTCACAACTTAGAGATATCCCTATCTCGGGAAGGAAAGAAAAAGTATCAATTTAATTTATAAAGTTACTATTTAGTATATTTATTATTAATCAGGTTTCACGTCTATACTTATAGAGCCTTTGACTATGACAGACATATGCTCCTAGGCAGTGGCCGTAGTTCACTGTCTCAAGGTGGTTCCTAGGCGCCATACTAGCTGTCTGTATCCCTTGATTGATTATTCTAGTTCTTTTCGTCGCCCAATCCGCCCAACTGTGCTAGAGCTTTTAGGCTATGTCCTTCTCAGTATTTGATGCCTGTTGGGCGTTACTTAGATGTACTTAGGTTACTCTCTCTACCTTCCTTTCCACCTGTTTTCTAACTCTTTTACTAGTTATAAGTCTCTAAAATTATCTTTAGAGGCCTCTCTATCTCCGTTATTACTTTCTCTAGAAAATAGTCGATATGTATTCTCTGCAAGAAAAACTCGTAGCTCAGTTACTCTCTGTTCCTTAAGGAAATATCTCTGGAACCACTTATTCTTGTTCTGATAGCGGCACGCCTTTTGTACCTATATTCTTGTATAGAGGCCATCGCCTGTATTCTACTAGTAAATGGCCTGCTATTTCCTGTGGGGGCCTGGCAGTCTTGGCACCTATCTGAGTCCCAGATCCCTATTTGGGAGGGATACAGCCACGGCTACAAGTCCTCCTTTTAGCTGATAGTAGCGGCGAGTTTGGGGGCACCTGCCGCCACTGGATTCAGACCCTATCCTTTCTGTGCTAGCTATGTTTGTTACGCCCTCGATGATATACCTGCTAGGGCCTTCCAAAGCCATCGACAGCGATAACACCCCTCCAGCGAGGAGTGATCTAGTGTCTTCCAGCGCGCACACGCAATCCGAGCTCATGCCTTCGCGGGTTCGAGCCGTCGTCCGATCCGAATAAGTAAAGATGTGGCAAGGATGGTATGCACATAGATCTCATAGGCAGCCCGCCGGGTCGGACTAGAAGATTGCTGGATGGATTCAGGTCCCCTCGCCCAATGGTGGAATGATGGATCCAAGGTTTCCATGGCCGTAAAAGGGCCCGATTTTCCATTGGACTCTCAATGGTGTCGAGATCGGAGCCAATATTCTGCTGAATATCGTTGCTTAAGGCCTGCTGGGTTGGGGACATCATCACTGGGTTGAATGGAAGCAAGGTGGGCGAGAGACATAGTGACATGTTTTGGACAACCAGTGGAAGTGTGCGAATGAGATTACCTGTTAGCTTGCTTGACGGGTGTGAGTTTACACATCTTTATGTCGCATTGGAGGCTCTCCTCGCGTTCGGTCGGAGATTCACTTTGCTGTTGTTTCCGGCAGCTCTCGTGAACGGGGATTATTTGCTGCCGGTCAGATTGCTTCAGGCAGGCTGTCAGGGTCTTTATCACGGCCACGTGCAGGGGTAGATCTGGTATATAATGACATCCTCTGGACAGGGACTTGGATAAGGCAACAACGGCGGTTGCAACACAGGGAGACACTCGATGTTTTGACCAAACACGGTACGGAAAAAAAACGCCCGTGTTTAGCGGTGGCGTTGGGTAATTACAACTATGTTAGAGTATATACGAGGAGGGCTTTGCTCAAAGGCTTGAGGAGAACCCAAAAAGCATAGTTTAATTTGCTCTAGATAGGTAGACTGCGTACACCACTAATATTACCTGTCAATGAACAGATTTTTCCATGTATCTGCATGCTCCAATCTTATGAATTTCTCGACCAACTGTCAATATATATATTAGCAGTTTCACACATGTACCGTCGGGTCCTTGGGTGAATTAATTCTAACCCATTAGAAAATGAGTAGATTAGAAGGAAACTAATACCTCCTAAAACACTAACATCAAAACTGGTTGAGACATCGTTCTTTCATTTAATAAGGAGGAGAGGGACGTTCAAGAAAGGTTCAAGAAATTCCGAAAGGAGAAAAAACTCAACCCTACATAGCAGTACGAGGGGACACCAGTAGCATGAGTAAGGGGGTGGGTTTGCCCCACTATACTGGTATGCAATAACATGCCCGAGTTAAGAACCGGAACGATTTAGTTGGTATAGCTCATTTACACATATTTTCAATCATTCCTAAACATAAGCCATCGCTGTGACTCCGCTGGCAGGTGATAAATAAAGAAGCGTGTTCTGCCCTCCGGTGAGGCTGTCATAGGGGACCTCCCATTTTTCAGGGTAACATTGAGCCCCGATGAGATTACCAATGGCAAAAAGGCTATCTTTCGCCATCGCCGCCCTGTCATGGCTAGATAGCGCAATCGGTATATTTCATACGATTCCCCGTCTTGACCCTTCGCAATTCCAACCCCAGGACTTCATCACACGCGATGTCTGCATTATCGGTGGCGGCTCTGCCGGCACATATGCCGCAATTCGACTTCGACAGATGAACCAGAGCGTCATACTAGTAGAAAAGGAAGATCATCTGGGAGGGCATGTCAATACCTACAACGACCCGATAGAAAAGACCGCCATTGATTATGGAGTGCTATTCTACGAGGACCTCCCCTTGGTACGGGATTACTTCGCCCACTTTGGCATTGCTCTGGAGAAAGTTTCTGTTCAAAATTCAAACGTCACACAGATACGCGTTGACTTGCGAACCGGTACCATCGTCAGCCCAGCGGAGAGCAATTCTGGTTTGGCACTGGCGGCGTACTCAACTCAGTTACTCAAGTATCCCTTTCTCAACACGGGCTTTAACCTTCCTACTCCAGTGCCTCTCGACTTGCTGCTTCCTTTTGGTGAGTTTGTGAAGAAGTATAGCCTAGAGGGAGCGGTAGATATTATTGCAAGCTTTAATCAGGGCGTGGGTGATATACTGCAGCAATTGACTCTCTATATGATGAAATATTTCAGTCTTGATGTACTTCAAGGATCCTTCAATGGTTTCCTCCAGCCCGTCAGCCACAACAACAGCGAGCTATATGGCGCCGCGAGGAATGAGCTAGGTGGGGACGTATTGCTAAGCAGCACCGTCATATCTACACACCGCGATGAAGAGGGACAGTGGGTATATGCCCTGGCTGAAACACCATCTGGGAACACATTAATTCGCGCAAAAAGACTTATCATCGCCGTCCAACCTAGGCTAGATATGTTGCAGGGAATAGACCTGGATGAAACAGAGCGGGGATTATTGGGAAAGTTCAACAATACTTGCTACTACACTGCCCTAGCCAGGATTCCCGGTATCCCCCAAGGCGTTCAGTATTTGAATCGTGCCAACGATACACTGTACCAGCTGCCGCCCATGCCAGCAGTCTATGTTATCAATCGCACAAGGTCACCAAATCTGTTCAGTATTTTGTATGGAAGCGAGGATCATATGACAGAAGAGGAGGTCAAGGGTAATATGACTCAGAGCGTGCTCCAATTGAGGAACACTGGTGTCCCTGTCGAGGCACCAGAGTTCGTGGGATATTCCGACCACAGCCCATTCATGTTGACCGTCCCGGCGGATGAAATTGGGAATGGCTTTTACCAGAGACTCAATGATCTACAGGGTTACCGCAATACGTACTATATCTCTGCAAGCTTTAATACACATGACTCCGGGCAAATATGGTCATTCATTGATAATTTACTTACGGAACGCTGGGGTACTTTGTGATATGGATGATAGAAGATACGAAAGTGATGGGACCAATGTATGACGCAGTTTGCTATACGGTGGCATGTTTACGTGGGGGAGATAATACATTTCATCCAATGTACTCAGGTTTTCTATCGATTCTCTCCTGCTAGTTCCAGATAATATCAGAAATTATTATTGCCTAGCCTCCGAGCTTCTCCTAGCCTAAATTCTCATGAACTACAAGAGTAACAAATGTACTTCATTACTGTAGAAGACCATCGGGAAGAACTTTCGGGCAAAGTTTTCTACGTGTATTCAGAATCTCACAGAACGTCTGTTCGAGTAAGCAAATATGCACTGTACTTTGAATTTTCCTTGATCCATAGTAACTAAAGACGCAATAATCATTACTAGAAGCAGCAGTGATCTAATCTTCCAGGAGAGATGCTTCTTATTATCCATAGGATATGGAATCCTCCAGAAGAGGCCAGCGATCTACATATATTTACTCTCTTGTTCCTGTAGAATGAGTACTTCTGTTGGTTCGCTATTTATCTATCATGTCCATCCTTTATTGTGAAGAGTCGGAATATCACTGCATTGATACTTATCTAGTTCTACACTTCATTTGTACAAGGCATTATACTATCATTTTCATGTACGAGGTCATGTTCGGCATTCAGAGGTCTGGCGACCCCCAAACCTTTTGTGGAAATAAACGTAAGATGTTTTCACAGTCTTTATTTTTTATTTTTTTATAATTTTCTATTTTTTATTTTTTTTCAAATTATTGATCGTACTTGCTCTGGAAATATCGTGATATACATTAGATATGGGCAAGTGATCGCCAGAGAAAGTAGTTTCCAAGCTCAACTCATTCTTAATAAACATTCTTCGCATACCACACAGCGGTGGGTATCCTAAAAGTGCCTAGTAGTAAACTAACCAAATTTTGGCCAGCACTCTCTGGGTCCAGTGAACGTGGGCATTACCTACAGCCTCACGTTGAACGCCCCATTGCAGTTTTCTCGCGTCGTTGTTCTTCACAGAAATCGAATCGGACAACTCAAACTCGACATCGTTGAGGATGCTCGCCAGTGGTTATGGACCATTGCCAGGCATACCGTTTGCTGATACACTCATGCTTGCCGTTGCCGAAGCCATTCTTGATGCCCTTTCGGAAGTTTGTCTAAATTCTCACCGACCATGTGCACCGATTGGAACGCCCCGTCCTCAAAGACAATTCATTAGATTGCGGAATGCAATATTACATTAGCTCAGTTTACAACAGCTAACTGTTTCATACCCACCACTCGGGTCAACTGGGCATCAAGAATAGATCAGAGGATAGAAGATACGGTCTACATTGTGAATGCCAGTTAGAGGTCTTAAGCTTGTTAGGATAAGACATACCTGGCGCCGCTCGAAGCTCGGTGACGGCGATATCATGTCAGTAGCTGCCAGCGGCTTGTATATAAAAAGGGAACGGGAATGGAACTGCAACAGTAAACGGGAAATTGGTGGAACCACAACAGTGATGGAAACACAACAATATCCACAGATGATGAGCCTATAACTACAAAGTAGTTTGAACACTGCTTTCCCCCTTCAATACCACTACCATATCAAGATCAGCATGCACAAAGACTAAGAGCAGCCTTCAGAGGAAAATTGGCCATGCCTAAGAGCCACCACAAAACGACGGAAGAGAGAGGTGCTGGTTCTGTCCGTGCGTTCCCCTTGCCCCTTACACATTCAGGAGCTTGGATTTTGAAGCCACCTTTTCCGCAAAAGAACTTATGGCATCATTGGCCAATATTTCCAAGACAGATACAGTCGTGTCGAGCTCTGAGAATATCCAATTCCTGAGTTCTACCGCAACTAGCGAGTCAACTCCATAGCTAGACAACGTCTGGGAAAGCTGTATGTCGTTAATTGGCACCATAGATAAAGCAGATAATTTAGAGACGATTCCTTCTGAAATCATTTCAATCGCATCCTCCATGGTCTTCACTTGTCTCAATTTCACGCGTAGGCGATCGAGAGATGGCGCCTCTGAATCCCCCCACGCTGTTGACTGGTCACTTGATGATTGCATGTGGGAAAATCTGGGTTCTCTATAGACCAGAGAAAGGCTTTCTTCCCAAGCCTTAAGCCCTGTAATAATGTGACAGCTGTCATATCCCCCGTCTGGCACGGCCGAAGAAACAGTAGCCAGGAACTCTTCCTCGGATAATGCCCGTACGCCCTGTCGTCCTGTGTTCGAGACAAGTTCAGCATTGTTTCCTAATGTAGTACCAAGAATGATCCCAAAGTCAACAGAAACTGCTGGGAGCCCAAGCCCACGTCGGTAGGCGGCAAATGAAGCTAAGAATGTGGATGCGCCTGCATAGGCGGCCTGGCTGGCAACGCCTGTAACTCCAACACTAGAGGACACGAGAAAGAAAAAGTCCATATCTTTTGGTAAATAATTATGTAAGTTCCAAGTACCCCGGACCTTGGGCCACACTATAGAGTTAAAGTCATCGTATTCTAAATGCTCAAGATGTGTATCCTACGAGGATTAGTCCAGTACACAGGACGGAGAGGAAAGACAAAATCACTCACATGCCATACCGCAGCAGCGTGTATCATCCCGCGAATTGGGGGCAGAGAGCTCGCAGTGCCAAGGCACTCTGAAAGCTGGGAGGCATCACTGATATCGCATGCCGGGGCCGTGACAGTTACACCTCGTTTCTCCAACGATTCGACAGTTGCTTGCGCTTCGCTTGATTTCTTACCGCTTCGACTGAAAAGGATCAGATGTCGGACACCATGATCTACCATCCAAAAAGCCAGAAGCCGTCCAAGGTTGCCAAATGCGCCGACCAGAACATATGACGCATCTGGGCGGAACAGCAGGGTGCTCTCGGAGAGAGGAAGAGCCTAAGGCACATCAAGTAAGTTAGTCTAATATCTTTCACTGTGAAAGACAGATATATTGCATACCTTAACCACTTCTTTTGGACTAGGAACAATGACGAGTTTGCCCATATGTTTGCCGGTTTGCATGGTACGCAGTGCCTTCTCCACTTCAGATGCACCGAAGGTTGTTAGTGGAGATGGTGGTTTAATTTGTTTCTCGCGAGCAAGGTTCATGACAGATGCCCAGACAGCTGCGGCATCCCAGGGCTTTTCGCGGATTAAAGAAGCTAGGTTTACTACCGTAAATGACACATTATGTTGAAATTGAGCCATCTCCAAGCGAGAATTGACAGTGTAATCCCTAGCCCCTAGCTCGACAAACCTCCCAAATGGTGCAATGCACTCCCAGGTTAGTCTTAGCATATCGCTGGCCAAGGAATTCATGATCACGTCAACACCTATACCGTGCGTTAATCGCTTGATGTCTTTGGCAAAGCTCGTATCCCGGCTGAAAAGGATGTGGTCCTTATCAATATTAAAGGTTGATATCAAGAAGTCCTTCTTCACTTTGTTTCCCACCGTGGCGTAGATCTCGGCCCCTGACATCTGACAAAGCTGGATCAGTGCCTGACCTAATCCTCCTGAGGCGGCGTGAATCAGTACTTTGTCCCCACTCTTAACCGCAGCGGCACGATGTACGGCGAAGTATGCAGTACAGAAAATAATTGGCAAGGATGCAGCAGTTTCAAAACTCATGCTGTCCGGAATTTTCTGGACTGCTGCTGCTTTTTCACGGATGACACTGGCGATGGTTCCACAGGAATATCCACACACGCGGTCTCCCGGCAAAATATTCTGCACCTGCTCTCCTATTGATGTGACTGTGCCGCTATACTCTAGGCCGAGGGGTTCGTAATCAATTTGGCCCACGGCTATCATCACATCCTTAAAGTTCAATCCGCTGGCTTGCACTTGGATCTCCACGCAGTCTGGCGCAAGCTGGGCTTGGAGTCGGTGGTCATCGACAAATCGGATTGAATCTAGAAGGCCTGGCGTAGATACCTCAATCTTCAATGGACGGCGCGAATTGCAGAATTCTCGGTATTCACAGGCAGTTCTGGAAAGTGTGTAGGATATTTTTTTCTTAGCTTGACTATCCTCCACGAGCCTAGGGATGAAGATGCGGCCGTCGCATTCAGCGAATTCTACATCCGAAGCCCCCGTTTTCACACTCTTTTGCGTGAATAATGCTTCAAAAACTTTAATTACCTGATTTGCAGAGGCGCACGGGCACGCGAGTTGCGCATCGCTCAAATCTAAAACCCCAACTAGTTTGTCGGGGTTTTCTGATCGAATAGTTCGCGCGAAGCCTGTGATGAAATTGGCAGCTGGGTTAGGCACGGATATATTGCCTCCACGAACGACCCATAAGATGCCCGACGCGGCTGTAGAAATGCGTTTAATGCCTTCAAATTGCTCTCTAGTGGGATTGCTGAAGTATGAATTCGTAAAGTCATCCAAGATTATACAGACTTTCCCTTGTGGCTCAACAGTGGTTAATGTAGCCGAGGACACTGACTTCACCAATGGCACTAACTGGTCCTTTAAACAATGCAAGGAGATCTCGCGGCATGTTAGATTGGCTGTCACCACGACATCAGCTGTAGTAGATAATTTAGCGGGATTCACTACCGCCGTGGAGGCCATCATAGATGATAGTTGCATCGATTCGGCTTCTGGGCCGCGTACATCTGCATCTAGTCCGGAAAAGCCAGTCTGCTTTAGAAGGGAATGCCACTGTGTACTGAGCATGCTGGGACCGTGCGGCCTCCCATTTTCCCGCCCTGCCCACCAGCCAGGTAATGTACCGAAAATAGTAATGCTAGAAAGGCTTTCACGCACCAATTCTACTAATATCAATTTCCCTCCTGGCTTCAGAAGCTTGCGCACGTTCTGAAGAGTGTCCTGTATCTTCTTCGTCGCATGCAGAACGTTATCCGCAATAACCACGTCATATTTGTGAGCCATGTATCCTTGTTCCGTTGGGTCTTTCTCGATGTCTAGAACGCGGAACTCAAGCATGGACTCCCATTTATGGAATTTCTCTCTCGCGGATTGGAAAAAGGCCTTGCTAATATCGGTAATGCAGTACCTGGAAAGGTGTGCTCGATTGTTTGTTACACGATCGAGGGCTTGCAGGAGATGGAGAGTGGAGCCACCAGTCCCAGCACCTATCTCAAGAATTGACATGCTCGGATTCTTGTGTGCTAAAAGCTCCATATAACGGGCTGCAGCTTCATGGCTCATGTTCAATTGAATGTTGGTTGCATAGTAGTCATCCATATATCCATCTTCAAACATAAACTGCAGCGGTTCGACCTGCTGTCTCAAAATCCGCGCTAAGTTCTGCCCAACATGGCAAAGAAGACGTCCTTCATCTCCATGTGATTTTATCTCTTCTAGGAACCGGGCTCGGCTATCGGACGTGGCATTTATCCAGCTTTCAGCTTTAACACCACCTTTCTTTCGTCGGATTTCCTGGACCCGCATGTTCATGCAATCCCAAAATTGTCGATGATAATCTCGGAATTGAGCGACCTCTTCCGGGCGAATTTCCAACAGAACCTGCTCCATGTAATAAAATGCTGCTCGTTCTCGAGCCAAAATCCCTTCCTCCTGACTCTGGTCCCAGACCCCGCTGCAGATATCGGATATATTGTCTGGCGTGAGGAGGTCCACGTCCTCTCGCCAGTTTACCTTATACACGGGTTGTACAATTGCTGGACTATCACCCCCCTGGACAGCAGTGGGATTAATATCCGCACATTTCAAATCGCAGATAGACAAGGCAACTTTTTTACTTGACATTTGCCCTCCCACAACGGTCATTGATGCAGTATGCTCTCGCGCATTATTCGCGACAACGGTAGTGAGAACTTCCAAGTCCTGTCCGGTATATCTGGGAAAGTCGTTGTCAATGTATACCTCCTTGGCAAAGACAGGTAAAGCAGGGCTTCTAAGGGTACCGAGGCCAGACTCGATGGCAGGAAACAACGTCTGAATAATGCTATCCAGGGTAGCTGGGTGAACTAGGAAAGACGACTCGTATTCATATGGCATAATGGCCCTCGTGTTGGGGATTGTGACGATACACCGAGATTTATTCGGCATAACAGAAATATCCTTGATGTTCGTGAAGGTTTCTCCGTAATCAAGACCCAATAACTGTAAACGCTCATACAGCTTCCGGGGATCCACCCGTGCTTTGCAGGAGACTTTAAAATCACAAAGCAATGAATCCAAACTCTCCTCTTCAGCTTGGGCTCTGAAGTCTCCATTTACATCGTTTTCGACAAGCCCATCTTTGCGGAAACCAACCAAACCGCGGCAATGCTCCGTCCAGCGGTTTTGTTCGTTAACGGAAACCACTGAGAACTCATACCACTTATTCGAGGGTGCACGGATACTCTCGCTATATGGTTTAAGAGATATCATGACCTCAGATTCCTCCAAGGCACTCGGAAATATCAATGCGTGAGAAATCGTGAACTCGCGAAGATAAAATCCTACTGGTTCGATAGACTGAGCCTTTGCGTGTTCCCTCATAGCCTCCACAGCCATCGCTAGAAACCCGGCAGCGGGGAAGACGGCTTCCGAGAGAATCCTGTGATCCTTTATCCAGGGTAGTTCTGAGGTTCGAAGAATGCACCGCCATTGTGGCTGCAGCGGGTTTGAATCACGACACATCGATCCTAGCAAATCATGTCGTGGATGGGATGAGGTGCGCCATGATGTGCTAAGCCGTGGCTCTGCCCAGTAGGATCTGGAATGGTTCCAAGCGTAGGACGGCAAATCCATCAATATCTTAGATTTTTTGGGATCAATTCGGTTGAGCTTTACAAGGTCCACCTGGCAGCCCGCAGTAATCAATTTGCATGTAAGCTGGTGACAGCTTACAACTGCATCAGTGTTTCGCACCAGAGTGGGGCTGTAGATAATTTCACTCCTATGAAGTTTCTGCTCATCCCTAAGTATATCCTTAATGGGCCCGGACAGAGCGGAGTGCGGCCCTACCTCAACCAGGATGTTGACAGCAGACTTTGAGCGGCGCCCATGAGGCTTTCCTGGGGCAAGAGTGCCGAGGCAAAGGTTTTTCAACGCTTTGGCAAATTTAACCTGGCCTAAGAGGTTGGAAACCCAGTAATCAGGACCCAGCTCAGAAGAGTCAACCAAATCTCCGTACACCGAGGAGAAAAACTGAACCCTAGACTTTACAGGCTGTATAGTGATGTTGGCAATCATATTCCAGTATTCAGAAGCGACCTGCGCCATCTGCTGGGAATGGTAGGCGACAGAGACGTTAAGCCTGCGAGCAAAGATTTCCTGCCCAGCTAGGTAACGTTGAAGCTCTTCGATACCAGCACCATCCCCAGACACCGTTATGCTGGATGGACTATTCACGCAGGCCACGGTGACCTTGCCCTCCTTAAGTCGCTCAAGGAAAGGAAGTACGCCCTGTTCTGAAAGGCCTACCGCCATCATTCCTCCTTTCCCATCGCTATTGTAACTGAGCTTTTCGGATACAACTCCGCGAAAATATGCAACCTTCATAGCATCCTCCAGGCTTAACGCACCCACTGCATAGGCAGCCGCTATCTCCCCGCTAGAATGTCCGCACACCGATGTAGGGGAGATGTTCCAAGATCCTAGTAGTTCTACCAATCCAATCTGCACGGCAGTACATATAGGCTGGCTAAGCAGTGCCTTATTAAGTTGAGATAATTCTGCCGACTTGGACAGCTCCGCTTAAGGGGATCTGTCAGCTAGCACTCCGCTCATGGGGTTGAATTTATTTCTCACCCGTAAGGTCCCAGGTAGCCCCCAGCCACCTTAAGCATTCGCCGGCTCTGGTAATGATCTCCCGGTAAACCGGATAGGCGCACATCAGTTCCCGACCCATGGCATGCCATTGAGCTCCTTGCCCAGTAAAAACAAATCCAACAACCGGATCCTTGATCATGGATTGGGAGAACTGGACTGCACTACTTTTCAACAAACTTGTTAAGTCTCGCACCGACTGTGCTGCAACAGCAGCTTTCCATCGGAGGTTGGAGCTTCTTTTTCCTACTGTGTAAGCTAGATCAGACGGGAATCGTTTTGGCAGATGTTCTAGACCTTCAATGTATGAAGATAGCCGATTAGCATAGCTCGTCCCAGATACTGGATCCGCACTCGAGAGAGCGTATACAAGGCTTGATATAGAAGAGTGACTGCTGCTTTCCGGAATTGGTACACCATTCGTCTGTGGTTTCTCAATGTCCTGCTCAATGCCGATCTCTCGACCGAGAAAAGCAAGATACTCTCCTGCCTCCTCTACGATCGCATGGGCGTTTGTTCCACCGTACCCAAAGCTGTTGATCGATGCCCTACGTGGACCACGGGCATCCCAATGTTGTGGTCGGGTAGGAACCTATCGCGACGAGTTAGAAATCTTAACAACTCCTTTTGAACCAAAGATGTATATCACTCCAGACCTTCAGGTTCCATTTTTCGAACGGTATCTGCTTGTTGGGTATTTCGAAGTTCCTATGCGGCAGGATGGTCTTTTTTTCCATCATAAGAATTACCTTGATCAGGCCAGCAATACCACTTGCACCTTCAAGATGCCCTACATTGGTCTTCACGGACGCAACTACTAAAGGATTCTCGGGGGTCCGCTTGGTGCAGAACACGTTCGCAATCGCAGACAGTTCTGCGTAATCGCCTAGCAGGTGATTTAGCTTTCATGTCAAGCATGCAATATCATAGTAAAAACAGACAGACCTGCTCGGGTTCCAGTTCCATGGCATTCAACGTAATCTGTATTTATTGGATCCAACGCAGCCGCATTGTAGACATGGCGTAGAAGTGCCTCCTGGGCACTCGGATTAGGCAAGGTGATACCGGCAGTCTTCCCATCTTGGTTTATGCCAGTACTCCTAATGATACCTCGTATAGGATCCGCATCTCTAAGCGCCACTGAGAGGGGTTTAAGCAGCACACATCCCACTCCTTCTCCTCTCCCGTATCCATTGGCGCGGTCATCAAATGTATGACACCGGCCATCAGGCGAGAAGAACCTAGTTGCATCATGAGTGACACTAAACGACTGGAAATCAGGACGCTACCGTACCTCATTCGCGACATGCTGATTGACATTTCGTGGCTCAAAATAACATTGACGCCTGCGACAATGGCTTGTTCGGATTCTCCTGTGCGCAAGCTCTGGCACGCCATATGGAGAGCTACTAGACTGGCTGAGCATGCTGTATCAATTGTCACACTCGGTCCATGAAAGTCGTAGAAGTAAGAGAGCCGGTTAGATAAAATAGCACGCGAATGGCCACTCCCCGTTGCCTGATACAGAGGAACCGTTTCGGGATCCCGCAAGAGCATGTCTGTGTAGTCATTGGTGAAAGAGCCCACAAAGACCGATGTGTTGCTTCCACTGACAGCTTTCAGTGAGACACCAGCTTCGTTCCCCCAAGTCAGATGTTAGTTCAATATTGACCAGAACTATAGTACGACGTACCGCTCTCGAGACATTCATAACTGCATTCCAGGAGAAGCCGCTGTTGGGGATCCAAAGCCTGCAAGTGCCATCAGATATAAGAACTACTGTGTTGTACCTCACGGAGGAATAATTACATACCTTTGCCTCATCATGGGTCATATTAAAAAAGGGAGCATCAAACCGAGAGAGATCAGCCGAGAAATAATGCCCCGCACCGATGTTGGACTGCAAAGCAATTTAGCTTGAGTACTACCTAACTTCCGAAGATACTACATACTGTCCCATTGTGATTGGCATCCGGATGGTAAAAGGCATCGTTGTTCCATTTCGATCGTGGTACTGGGCCCCAGGCTTCTCTCGCGTCGTAAATCATGCGGTAGAATGAGTCAAGGTCCACGGCATCACCTGGGCCACGGAAGCTCATGCCAATTATCGCAATCGGCATTACAACATCTCCTTCAGATGATTTAAAAGAGCTATGCATGGTTGGTATAATTGAAGCTTCCGACAGGCCCTTCCAAAGAAGCTGTGGTTTAAGCCCAAATTCGATAGATGTGATAGATGGGATGAGTTTCTCTTGGCCTTGTGTTCATCTCTAGTCGCGGGAGGATTATTGTTAGTACTGAAAATATCTTTTTTCTTAGCTTCACTTTGCAAATGAAAAACGCGTTCAATGTTTGTTTCTTGTGCTTTAGGGTATTCTATTCCGGGGGAAGCGAGGACAAAATGTGCATGCAATATATATCATAACTATTGATAGTCATCGCCAACCAACGCACAAAATTGAAACCTTAGTAAAGTCCCAATATTCTTTGCTACCGAGCTATCCGGATGTCCTTAACCTACTTTGCTGTTCATGACGTGTAACAGGTGGATCTCTTTGGTGTTGACAAAGTCAAAGTTTTCCGCGATACTAAGGCAGCGACACGCACATCCCCCGTGTATTAATTAGACTAATTGGGCAACTTGCATAGGCTTTTACGTTGTCGAAATTGTCGGTGGGAGGATATGATGTTTTACTTCGCCCACAGATATTATTCCCGCATGGCATTCCATGCCCTTACATCACATCAATTAATCAGACTCCGCTATCGTTACGTTCATTTCCTTGATATTCAATATAGCCGAAACATCATTTCATACAGAATAGGCGGTTAAAGATGCTATTCTCGATGCATACGAAAGAAGAGACCTCAACACGGTATTTCATCATTATTCCGCGAGAGGGCGTAGATAATACATCATAGTGGCTACTATAAATCAACAAAGTGGGCGAACCAATGTCTACACACACCTTCAGCATTCAAGGTTCTGCCAAAGTAAGTATCTTCTAACTGATCTTGTCGAGAAAAATACCAATTGATAAAGAAAGGATCCTGACCCGAAACTGTAATCCTGCACCGCCGTACGCTTTTTCCTTCCTGCAAGGCGAGTGGTAATTTGGCTTAGGCCTGGACGGACGTTTTACACATCGGGTGTATACAGTTGACCAGGTATAAATGTAAGTCCAAGTCGTTTAAGAACCCCTAGTGACTTCTGCACCGACGTTTCCATATACGGGCAGTGACCCTCGTTACTCAAATGCCTCCACTACGGTTCCTGTGCCTCCATGGCGGCGGTACGAATGCAGATGTAAGTATAAATATGCGTTAGCTCAAGAATATAGGAGACTAACCGGCCATAGATATTTCGTGCTCAAATAGGTAAGTGCAAATATCGTGAACAGCCGTCACCCTTGACCAGCTTCAAAGTAATTCACATACAGGAATCAAGGCGCTCTCATGAGTCAGCTCACTGAAGACCAGGTGGTCGAGACCTATTTCTCCGAGGGAACTGTCGATTCCCCTCCTGGTCCTGGCATAGAAGGTTTCTTCGAAGGTCCATATTTTTTATGGTATAATTGGCCACCCCGGGTCGGTAGTGAGGTGGATAGCATATCGATTACCGACGCCTATCATGCCCTCTATGAGGTAGTTGAGGACGAGGGACCGTTTGATGGCGTGCTGGGCTTCTCTCAAGGAGGTTCTCTGGCACACGCCTTCCAGGTTCAGCATTTGATCCATCATCCCCTTAAAGAACCTCTGTTTCGATGTGCGATCTATCTTAACTCGCCCATGCCATTGTTTGTAGATGATGATGGTAGTGTTGTGTATGACATGTCGGTGGTTGGAAGCCCACTGAAGGTGCCTTCCTTGCATGTAGTAAGCGAACGTGACCCAAATTATGCGCATTGCACGAGGCTATGTGACTGCTATGATCCGGCATATGCATCCGTGATCCGACATGCCTATGGCCATGCCATACCAAAAGACACGAGGACAGTTACAGTCGTGGGGAAGGAAATTCGCGAACTCGCACAGCGAATCTTGTTCCACTCTGAATAATTCAAAAGCCATTGCTCTATCATGAGCTTATGTCCTACTTTACTTTTCTTCCCATATTTGTGCGTTATGTTGCTTAAAATCATAAATAGTCTTAGTCGTGGCCACTATGACTTCTCTTTATAGTCTACAGATATGAGGTGTAGACTTAGGTATGACGCAATTATTGACGGTTAAAACAATTATTGAAGTACACATACTATTCCCAATTCGGTGGTTGGGAACTGGTTTTAGGAAATCTATGAATAATTCTACAATGTGCCCCACCCATAGGAGAGCTGAGATTAGAGCGTTCCCTTTTCCTTGGGAAACAAGAGTATGTGAGTATCGTGTGTTAATTTTCATTGGCATCCTAGCTAGTTGACAAATCCTTGGCCCTATACTGCGCATACGTCGCTACATCCACTCAGAGAGAGGGGGAATCAAAGCACTAAACAGCAGAAGAAGGGTAAAGTGAAAACAAAACCCACAATACGTATATTACGCACCGAAGTTAAACTTGACGAATGGCACCTCTATAATGCTGGGAGATATGTCCAAAGAACTAAGATACTGTCAGATATATTGATTTTAGTATCCCCCTTTGACGAGATGTTGTTGACACACACGGGCATCACTATGACACATTCCTCAGCCATCTACTCGGTGCATTTATGTCTATTAATTTGACCAGAGTAAATGTAATTATTCAACCATCACCGGTCTTCGCCAGACAAGCCGAACCCCTTTGGATTCTCCCTTCATCTGACAACTAGTCAGCTCTGAGGAAAACCAAATACCAATTAAAGACCGTATAATGCAGTGCACGAATTACTCATACACCAGACAGAAATACAGTCACATGACAAAAGTCTACGTAATTCCGCATCACGCGACGCGCTACCCAATATTATGCTTCATCTTTGCAACCACCTGGATCATGCCTTGCACTCCTTTACGGTCTACTAGTTCTAATAGGACTAGTAGACATGAATTGGAACCATTTCAACGTGGGATTATAGTTGGTCGATTTCTTGCAGGCCAGAAAAAAGCCGATATTCAACGCGCAATGAATTTGCCATATACAATAATTTAAACCACTATTGAAACATATCAGACCTCTACTACTGGGACTAGCTCCCCTCGCTCTGGACGGCCAGAGATCCTTTCTGATACTGATAAGTGATATATTCTTTTATAAATTAAGCGGGATCTCTTTATAAAAACAGAAGATATCTATAAATTACTTGACAAGCCTATTTCTGCACGCACTGTTGCGCGTATATTAAAAGAATCTGGGTATGGTCACTGGAGAGTGCAAAAAAGACCTTAATTAACTGAGGAAATAGCTAAACTACGCTATCAATGGGCATATACATGCAAGGACTGGACATATAAGCAGTGGAGCAAGATTATTTAGAGTGATGAATATTCTGTTAAGCTTGGCAAAAAAAAGAAAAATCAATAGGTATAGCAGCTTAACTACCTTAATAAAAAATGGAAAAAAAAGTATATTATTCCATATATGAAAGGTAGAGGAATCTCTATTATGATTTGGGCAGTAATCTGGGATGGTAGTTGTACAGAAATTTACTGAATAAGTAGAGATAAGGAATCTGCTCAAGAGAGATATTCTTTATGCTCCTATTTAGAAATTATTGAAGATTATCTACCTGCTATATAGGAATCTGGTATAGAATTTATACAAGATAATGCTTCTATTTATATAGCCAATATTATTAAGAATTGGTTTAATGAGAATAGTATTTCTCTTGTTGACTGGCCTCTATACTCACCTGATCTGAACCCTATTGAGCATGGCTGGGCTAAGCTAAAAGAGCGTATCTATATGCTTTATCCAGACCTTAAATTATTTGATAGAACTAAAAGCCAATTGAAAGAGCAATTTTATAAGGCTATTAAGGATGCATAGAAGAGCTTAGAAGAGGATTATTTTGATTCCTTAATAAGGTCTATAGAGAGCTGTATGAATGCAGTTTTAGAGGCAAAGGGATGGTATACACGCTACTAGTATAAAAAAAAATATATACAATTCTTTATATACAATATAGCTATTATGTATTTGAATATCTTATAAAAATATTAATGTCTGGTGGTTTTATGTGAGATTATGATGTTCCGATTATTATATATATTTTGGTGGTTGCGGGAAATTACGTAGACTTTTGTCCAAGAACTATAGTCCATCATTGTGAAGAACAAGATACTCCCCGTTGAATTCTCCCCGCCGCTCCTGGACCTTGCCAGCTCAATATGGAAATGAAGACACCTCGGGTAGATGACGCACTCGGAATGTATCCACAGTGCGTATACATTCGAATTGGCCGGCATATGCTATATAGTGTTTCATCTGCTCGTTGAGACTGCCATTAGGGCCCGTTGAATGTCCCTCGGCATCCGCCCGGGTCCTGATCTGTGCCGACACGTAGCCATCAGGGGAGTAGACGAGCACATATTGGGCATTGGCCCCCATTGGAAAGGAAAAACTCTCATCAGAAAATCTGTAATTATATCTCGGTTCATATGTGTCTATCTATTGGAGAACCATCTATTATCGGCCAGTTTTAAGTCAGGAGCGATGCTCATGGCGCCTCTTTCAGGTCGACTGTTATTTTTATGAGCCGTCATGCGTATGGATTGCCCTAAAACTGAGGAGGACTACTGTGGCCTGAAAGCATTACGCAGTGGGGCGATCACAGGCGAGGAAAACGTACTCTTCATATATATAACCCACATATGGGTTCTGAAGTTCCAACCTATCCCGCCAAGACTTCGCGTTGGGGAGGGTGGATCACGGGTTACCGGGTGGGTAATGACAGTCTAGTTGACATCCCATATATATAGACAGGCACATACGGGCCGATGTGGGGTTAAGACGGCTCTCGGGACTCACTTTCACATCCGCCTATTTTGGGGCGTCGAATGGCTGGGGCCGCCGTGTCGCGCAAAAATTGTGGCTTGGCCTGCTTTAGGCTTCTTAGAACATCAGCATGGAGAAACTTAGATTTATGTCTAGGGGGCGGCTGGCTGTAAAGCCCTTTGTGTGTGGGCGTGGGACCTAAGCGAGGCCTGATCGCATTGGCCGACGCCTACAGGGCGAATTGGAATCGAAATAATTGGGATCTCTTGGCCAAAATCCGTGGTTGGATTTGGACACTAAGGCATGAGAATGGTGCAATATGGGTTTACGATGACTCTGAAACTAGGCTCTGTTGCACATCGTGTGGGTCGATGGTGTCATTGAGGGGAGAGATTCAATTTCGACGTCACATTTATTCCTCGGATTTCAATGTCAATGTCGACGTTCGGACCAAAGTGTTGCTGTGGAAAAATGTCCATTAATATTAAGAAGAGAGTTGACATTCAGCCTCAACTGAACAGCATTTATCGGCTACAACCTAGTTTGTCTCCCGCCTTCGAGGTCACGATCATCCGGGCAGCCAACTGGCCATGACTTATAGCGCTTCAGGTGAAGAACTATTCTCGCTCCGATTAGAATTCACATCCAGTTGGAGCCGCTCCAACAGAGTCCGGATATACGGGTGTCTGCGCAGCATACTCGCACTTGCAGTAGCTGGTCTCCAGGGGGATATCCGAACACACGCTTGCCGGCGCCGTTGTGCAGTACGTATTGACTGAGACCGAGGTTGTCATGCCTGCTGGACAGGAGCTTGATGGCATGCAGAAAGTGTCGACGGTTGACGCGCCTGCGAGCATGGTCATGCTATACCATTGGTCTCTGGCACAGGAGCAGGAAACGGCTTTGGGAATACACCAGGTATTTTTAGCTTCATTGTCTACGTGCTGGATATGATTGGACGGGCAGAGACTAAAGGGCAATTTGAAGAGGAAAAATGAAGAGGGAGAAAGAACTCACCACTGACAATAGTCGACTTTCCTCCCGCTAAGGTACCCTCATACAAGGTCGAGGTTGTCCAAGGAATCGCGCCATGCGAGCACTCGGTCGTGATCCAGGATGCGTCAAGCGGGTAACAGGTTGACTGTTCAATGCAATGACCTGGGTGCCAAACCGACGGGAAGTACCCCTCCGAGCACTGGATCGGAGGCTCCGGTCTAGCACAGTACGACATGGGAGTTCCCAACGTACAATCTGTCGTGTAGACAGCGGTCTGCCCGTCTGAGCAGCTGAGCGACGCAGCTTTGGTGATCGTCGCCGGCGTCGCGGTTGTTGTACCTGCGGCAGTTTGCTGGGGAACTGCTACGATGGCAGTGGGGAAGAAAGAGAACAGAGCGATGGCTTGGAGAAAATCCATTTTGGCTGTCTTTGAGCTCACTGAGTACAGAGCGAAAGAAGCTGATAGGGTTTGTGGACACAGTAAGATGTGCTACTATGATCTTAGGAACCCCAGTGCGGGGCCAACCTTGGGTTTTATATTACTAGGACAGGTCTCATAACTGCTCAATTAGTCTCTTCTAGAACAATCAAATTTCGAGAAAAGTGCTCGCTACAGGCCTCCCACATACATGTGCACAGTATGTGAGGGGCGGTTTATGATAGCACTAAAGAGAGACAAAGGTCTCAGCTCAGCTAATGACGTTATATCAGCGTGTAACTGTCTGATAAATAGGGTCATTGGATAGCTTGCTCTTTTTCTCCAACAAGAACGAAGAAACATGTGAGGATATAAAAATAGCGGCGTCGTGCCTAGCCAGTCCTTTATCCGGGAACTTCCGGGAGCCAAGGGACCCGCGTACAGCAGGGTCGAGCACTCTTCGTATAATGGTGGGGACTTGTGGATGTTTAACTCGGAGGTTGCGCAGGGAAAGTGTGCTACACGGATAGCCCGCGTATATAAATGTAACGCTGACACCACAAGTATTCGAGTTTATAGCTGATTCGAAATGTTATCGCTACTGTTACCACCTTCGGGATCTTGGTTTTCTGTCTCAGATATGGCCCTGCTAGTGGTTTCGAGGTTTGGGTTGTCGCACAGAAGGTGTACAGCTTCGTCACCTGCATCGCTAGTGTAAGCTGATTGCTGCTTTGGATGGGGAGATGCTGAGACATTTCCCGAGAAAGTGGATTGGGGTGAAACATTGGAGAATGTTTCGGTGAGCGGGTGTCCAGTTCGACCGAGACATGGCTGTCATATCCATACCCTCACTATGTCAGAGAGGGATATGGGGATGGGGGAAAGCTAGCTCAGGCGGAGAATCTTGGATTTCTCAAGTACTGCGGTACTTTCGATCATTATGGACTAGCGAGTACAAAAATAGAATTGGCCACCAAGTACTATTGCCTTTCCCCAGCTTGGATATTCCCCGTCGGTTATCGGGGTTCGGAGAGCCTTGGCGTGACGCCGCTTGGCTAACAGAGGTGTTCCGTGGCCATCATCTCTTCTTTTCGGTTGTGGTGATTCGATCCTAGAAAAGAAATGAAATCGTAGAACAGAGTATTCTCCCATCACACATTGTGTCTGCACAGTACACTCTACAACCTATGCTCGCAGCCCCTTGATATCGCATTTCGTCATGGCTCTAATAATCCACCATCTCCATTATCCCCAGTCGCAATGTTTACCCTGGCTGCGCTAGGCATTCTTATGAGCTCAAGGTGCACCAACGCGCGCCTTTTATGGCCCCGCCAGAGTAAGTATGACTATGTGCTTCCCACAAAACCCTATCACGGGTGTATAGCGGATCTCTGAGTTTTTCTGGGAGAATGACTAGAATTGGTGCTAGAGGACGACGACCCGCGATGTACCCATTCCATATCAATTGAAAAGTAATAAAATGTCGTGCGATGGGCTACATTGTCTCTTCAATATTCCATTTTGTCAGGATCTTCAGAGAGAAAAAAAAAAGACAAATCTGTTTGGTATGATCTAAATGCTGCCTGTAGAAGCTTTAGAATAGATCGTAGCTAAGTGGGTAGTTTTGAAGACAATTTTAGTGTTCCCCTGCGTAATCAAGAATGTATTAGTGCCTGGACCAACCACCCACGGCCTTCGCCGGAGTAAAAGGCTTAATATAGATCATCATCTCCGGAAAACCCTTTTGAACGCCTATCGTTTGCCGTCTGTGTCACGTTCGGAGTCTGATTTCATCTGCTTGGGAGGATGATATTGGATGGGCAAGCCAGGAGAGGCTTTGGCTAAAGTCTGCTATTTTAGCTTCTTTGATAGGGAATTCACTGCTATTTCCCAGTCGCTAAGAGCGTTAGAGGAGGATATGGCATGTGGGTGGTCTGGCCCCAACAAGTTGCAGAGACGCTCTACATACTTTTCCATCAGGGATAAGGCTTCTTGGGCATTTCCTAGTTGTTTCCATGTGTAGGCAAGGTTGTTCCTGCTGGTGAGAGTGTCTGGATGCTCTGGCCCTAGTACTTCCTTGCGGAGGTCCATCACCTGCACCCCCAGCTTTTCTGCTTCCTTCCATTGTCCCTGATGCTGGTATGTTGATGCCAGGTTGTCTATGCTAGTCAGAATATCGGGATGCTCTGGCCTCAGTACTTTCTTGCAGATCTTTAGTTCTTCTGCTTCCTTCCATCTGCCGTCACTATACAGACACCATAATCAAATCAATGTATTTCACCTGCTCCTTTTTGGAAGTCATCTTCCGTTATTAGTGAAAACAAATGCGGTAGATATTCCCGCTATATGTTCTGATTAGTATAATTATTATTCGGGAAAACTTTGCTCAACTGGTCTTCAGCTTTTAATATTTAGAGGCTAAACTATTAACTCTTTCTTATCCAATTCCGAGTTACAAGTTAGACTAGTCAGTGTAGATTTAGAGAACAGTCCCTGCCTTCCTCAGTAATAAAGAAGCCGACCTTAAGAAGCCCAATAGCATCTATTCTTTCCTTGTTCAATAGCGGCTGGGGAAGTAAGGACTGTGGAATATCATGAGGATTAATACAGGCCATAAATAACAGGTAGTCAGCTGAGACTTGATTTAATCAGTAAATCTGCTGAAAGAAGATAAGTCAGATTAGAGTTACTGGATTCTGGAGGTCTTTATAACACCTTTTAACCTTTTATCCCTGAAGCCTTTACTTAGCAATTCAATGCTAAGGGTTGAGTGCTCCCACCATGAATACTTTTTGGAGAAAATTGGATACCAAAATAACAAAGAGTTATTATCAGAAATTATTCTCTAGTATCCCTCCAAAGAGTGAGAGCCACTTTTATATTCTATATAGTATACCCTCAAAGTACTACCTACTTAATCTTTGACTAGAGGATGTAGAATACTTTATTATAAATTAAAGACAAAGCCGATCGCATAATTTAATATCCTAACGATGTACAGCGAAATACATGATATATGGTTTTAGGGCGGAAGCTATTGCCGAACCGTTTCTTTTACTGTATACGTTTTCTCCAGACCTATCCAGTTCCTTTGGGTCTGCCAAAGAATGGCGCACAATATATATGACCTCTCGACTGACAAACCGTATACTTGATACGTTCTCTAACTATAAAAGTATCGTCTTATTACTGTTAGCTTGTCATCGACTTGATGACATAGATAGACTCTAAATCTGTCGGGATTGGGTCGGGGAAGGGATAGCATAAAGAACCCGATATCATTCGCAAGGAGAAAGTGCTTTAATAGGTCAGTTCTTGGGTAGTTTGACATGGTTATCCGCAAGAACCGGAGCAGGACTTTCGAAATCGAGCTTCGCATCTCATTCTCCAAGCACCAATGGATTACACTTCCATTTCTATCTTGGATCTAATCATTCAATAACCAGTCAGTCTTTTGTTCCGTCTACGTAGCAGATCATTAGACATGCACCAAATCCTAGGCTTAATTGAATTGTGATATCGCCTCTGTGCACGTCAGACAAGGAGGGGATACCGATATCTGCATTGGATCTAATATGTAGTGCGTTTTTCTCTTATTACCAGGAATGAACGCAATTCCATGATCCGCACTTATGCAAGATTGCCACTACCACTAGGTTGACAGGGTGGGGAGAAACAGCAGAAAATGTAATGAAATAACATCGATGCGTCCTCAAGCAAGACATGCCACTCGCCGTAGCATTGACCACGTGAGATCAAAAGTAAATCGTAACTACAGACCCTTGCAAGCACACCACTTGCGTTGTCTTTATATCAAACCCCGTATCAACTCTCGTTATAATGGCGAAGTCAGACAAGATGAGCTCTAGAGACGCAATTCAATTTGACGTTGCCTGGCACAATATTGGCGGTTTGACAAACATTGCCCAGGGTTTCTAACATCCTCTTCCCCGGGAACTGCATTCCATGATAACCTGTATACGCAAAGCCAAGCACAAGGGGGGGGGAACAAATACCAAGGCATATATAGGGGAAAAAAAAGTTACTACCGTTGAAGTTGAAGGAAATATGCTGCCCAGATTGTGTTTTCTTCGATAACATAGCAGAGACAGTAAAAACAGGACTCTGATATTTACACCTAGTCAATCAGAGTGATAGTTATATCCGCCATTCGTCGGTCTGGGTCTAAGTCAAAATACCTCTTCGTCGTGTAGCTGAAAGGGTAAAAAGTTAGTTCATATTAAAGATAATTGGCTTTGAGGTATTATACGAACGTCCAATTGACGCTCCCGATGCAGGCATCTACACATCCTCTCAAAAACCTTTTAATGTCGCAGCTACCCTCATCACCTACCACAGCCTGATTGATCTGAGACTCCAAGTCTTGAAGTGTCATATAACTTTTCGTGACCATCTGAACAGCACGAGTCACTGCTTGCTGGGGCTCTATTCCCTCATGATGCATAAGCAAAGGGACAATATTGTCCACGTGTCCATTTGTCTAAGATGGTTAGTATTCGTACTCGGGAATTCATTTTCGGGTCAATGCTTACCATCTCATTCCGCAAGGAGATTATATCATTCCCGCTAGGTTTGTCAACATTAGTTCTAGATGATACAGACAGAGGATAAGAGGCATGAAGATCTCACATTGACACGAACAGATTTGCATGCTTCATCAACTTCCTTACAAGATCATCATACAGGAGCCAATCTGGAAGATCGAGGTGATACGCGTAGCTGATCTCATAACACATTTGTTAGCCAGGATGCTCATCTCAAAACCACACCGTCACGAGGGAAAAGAAAATAGTACATATATAGCCAGATCACTGGATATACTGCTGAGGTCATTGTTCGCGTATCAAGATAAATATCCAGACTTGGAACCTCTCCAGAATCCAAGGAAGCTTGGACATTTATCACTGTGTTGACATAGTCGCATAGCGAGTTTGCAATCAAATGTCTGACGGTTTCTTTGGATAAGGAACATAAAATCAGCTTTTATTTTCAAGTAGATAGATAGCAAAGAGGATACCGTTCTTAACACCTTCACAGATTTCGCGCCCTATCTCATAAAATCCACGTGCCATTTTATACGTCGGTGCAAGTACAACGGGGTTATAGGAATGCTTGCTACAGAGGCTCTTCTGGATACAAGTGATTGTTTCGGATCGATATATTTCTCGCGTCTGGCTCTGGTCCTTGAATTCGTGGTAGTCGACGACTAAATGGTTCTGAAAATATTAGAGCTACTGGTAAACTGATAGGTGATTGTATGTCAAGGGATATCTGACCGTCATCCCAGGCAAAAAGCTAGGTGAACCTTGTTAGCATACTTGAGTACTCCTCCGGCGGATTTCTGAATGGCTGGCTTACCCAACAGTAGAATTTGGCTAACGTATACAACTCCTTCAGACCAGCTTCTGGATAGAGAGTGCGCACGAAGAATGGGGCGTCTGTTTGATGGCTTCTCCTCAGAGAAGATTCACCAGTGATATACCTATCGCGCATGAACAGTATGAAATTGAATGTCAGACTTTCGCCTAAGCTTACTTGTGGAGCCACACGTCGAGATTGGCCTGCACGCAGATATTATAGTCCTGGTTCAAGCGAGGTTTCCATGCTGGACTAAGGGAGAAAAGGGATGGAATTGTCACTTGCTGGCCGGTACATTTGCTCAGTAAATCGGCAGCGGCAGTGATTGAGGGGGGTGGGACAGTCATTATAAGTGGTCTGAGTAATTTATGTTTGACAATCCTTCTTCTAGGCTTTCTAGGCTTTCATCTAGAGGTAGGTAAGTGCACTTATATATTACAAGGCTTTCAGATCTTAAATGAAAATAAGTTCTACCCGCGTTGAGAGGCCGAAGTAAACTCCCAATCATTCCCCCAGTACATTAAGATGTGTGACACAAATACAATAGAACGAATAGCTGCACAAGCAAATTTTCGACTTCGAAAGCAGTAGGCACAAAGATGGGAATGGTCGCGTGAGCTATCGTCAGTTTCGACATGTCATTGTGTTGGATGAGAAGATGAGACTGTCAGAAAATACTCTACTTTGTCATTTCTCGTGGGTGAGTAACCCTGGAGAGCAGTCAGTGTAACTTTAGCTGCAGCAAAACAGCCTGATAACTGCACGTCACTTCGATTCATCAAACCTCTAGCGCTGCACCATTAGCGAATAAAAGACCGGCTGTAAGCTTGAGATTTCTTGCAGTGTGACGACGGAGCACCAGATCTAGAAGACTCAAACTTATGGGCTGTCAATATTTATGGCCATTGAAAGCGCTGGTGTTGGTTCCTTAACGGATCATGAGACTTATTTTGGTCAAAGATCGTGCACGCGCCAACACCCTTTGGTGCTCCCGGTCTCAACGGTCCCTTTTCCTTTCCTTTTCTACTCTACAAGAGCACCACCATAGCAGAGGCATATCAATAATTCGAAAGGCGCATTACTGAGGCTTACGATTCTATTAAATGTCATTTTGACGTGCCAGTACGTCTACTACGGGCTCGCTTTAATGGTCGTTACATTATCAGATCGGTCTCCACAATTTTCCAAATTTGGGAACACCCGGTGACTCTGCAAGTTCCGGGTGTGGGTGAGCTTAATAACTAAGCATCCGAGGCCAAGCGAGCTTTTAGGGAGTCAAGGCGGTACCGAGGGGAATTAACGTGCCATCCGAGATACCCGTGTATGAATCCATGGCAGAAAGAACCTGCTAGGTTTGACTCAGAGCTGCTGCTGCAATGCCTCGGAATTTCCTCTGCTTCGTTACACTGACGAGGAGTCTTGAACGCTTGACCAAGTACTTCACAGTTCCGCAAAACCCTCTCAAACAGATCGCAGATGGTATCTCGGAATGTCCATAAGCTCCCTTCTGCAAACCGTGACCTGCATCCGGATGTCCGTTTAATGTGAGTTACAAGAGAGACATAGTTGACTTTCTCGCCATCCAAAACCTCCTTTGGATAGGAAAATAAGTCGTTTCCGAGATTAATAACCGTTGTCAAAGCCGGTGCATAAGACATCCACACGGAATACGGAACTTCCACTTCGCGCGATGGTTTGAAAGCTGGCACACAATATGACATTGGCGCCCCAGTTAGGGTCCGAAGGTAGTAGGGAAAGTCTTCAATTGGACAGAAGTTGGCATCTAGTGCTTGTCCATCTCCGTCTCCTATTTTTTGGGCCATTTCCCACAGCTGTTCTTCTAACAGGCATCCGTCAAGCCAACGTGACCACCCGGAGGTTACTAACGTACCTAACAAAGGATCGTTGGCACCAAAGAGACCTGCACACTCTCTAAGGAAATTGAAAAATACGGGTGACCATACATCCTCTGGCTCCAAGCCCTGCCAGAAGCGATTTTGCGAATTTGAAAGCTTGTATTTTGCCTCCGGCGAGAGATAATTGCTATCCAAGCTAATGGCTAAAGCCGTGGCTTTAGCCATCATCAACCGGACCTCTTGGGATGCGAGAGGGTAGAAGCTTTCTGCACTTGAAATGGACTCTTCAAGGAGGATGCCGAGTGAGTCAATATCACGAGAGGTGGCTCGGGCCAGCTCTGTTCGGGCCCAGCTCCAAAGGGCCTCACGAAGGCAGCTATCCTTCTCGGGGACTTCATGGGAATACCCGATAGATTTGAGGAATATGTAGAGGATATTGCTCATCGCCTCCACTATGGTCTCCTTTTGGGCTTTGCTGAGCACGGACACGTCATGGTAATCGAGACAGACATACTTTCTCTGAGCGAATAAAGAGTGTATATCCATCGTAGATACCATCATCAATACGAAAAATGATGGGCAGTATGCGAAAAGCTACACGCTTGAACTACTGTAGGGTGACTTGACAAATTTAAAACTCATAGAACTATATAGAAAATGATCACCTAGGTACAGTCTTCTACCTATATACTTCTGATGACAATACGACAATCACTTTGGCACCCACTCTTGAGGATACGCAAGCAGTCGTTTGCAGTAATCTAGCAGTAACACCAATATCCGGCCAACCACTATGTAGATAGTTTAAACCTTGCCTTTTTTTTTTTTTCCCCCTTTCTTGTTTGCTTTTTGGGGAAATAATATTGGGGTAGGTTTGTACACGTGTAAATGCACGTCATGATTTCAGTTTTCTGGTCGCTCTCTTTAAGGGCTGAAAGAACTAGGTTTGGCTCCCTCGTGGGTAGGACACTGGATGCCAGAGGAATCTAAGATTCTTGCTGCACTTGGTAAATGTGTAGCTTCAGTTTCCGCATACTTCGAACGTGCGTATGTAACACTGCTTCAAGCAAGGGCCCTTTGTAAGTGTTTGGACGTCTTGATTAATGCACAGAGCTATTCAGAGTTCACCAAATGGAACTAAAAATATATGTGTACGTCGTTAAGCCTAAAAGTTTACGAAGTTTTGTTGTCTACCATACATAAACAAGCATCCGATTGGGGCACTAGGGGCAGTGGGAAATTAGTAGGACAAGAGTTTAGGGTTTACATGATCTCAACGAATGCTGGGAAGTAGGGGTAAGGAGTACTGGATTCCGTGTACTCTAATTGTAGCGTCAGCGCTTCTTCCGACTTTGTGACAACCCAATGAATCGAGCTATTTAGGTTCTATATTCACTACACAAGTAATGGTGTGTGATGCCGCTACAGAGTTTAATGGACGAGCAGCAATATAAATGCCCAGCTAAGTTCCATGACATTTTAGTCATCTAATAAGTGACAATTTCAACCAGTATACCAGTAGAATCATTGTCCTTTGTGAACCTTGAACTAATACAACTATGACTGTATCTGCAGTGTATACCTTGCTCTCAATACTTGGCATCTTATTCTTTGCACAAGTTGCAAAGATTATATATCGAATATTTTTACATCCTCTCGCCCGATTCCCTGGCCCCAAGCTGGCCGCAGCCTCGAGTTTATACTCAACATACTACAATCTCGTTAAAGGTGGCCAGTATACGGAAATGCTTCCTTGCTTGCATGATCTATATGGTTAGATACTTACATGAACTGAGTGATGGAGTGACAATAGCACTTAAACTTGCTTCGCAGGACCGATCGTCCGAACACACCCAAATGAGCTCCATATCCGCGACATTGCAGCATACAATACTATATTTAAAATGGGAACACCATTTTCGAAAGACCGCCAGTTCTACGGGTTCCCTTTCGAAGGGTCGCATTTCAGTATGACAAATACGAAGTCCGCTAAGGGCCGCAGAGATTTACTTCAGCCTCACTTATCTCATAAGGCAGTTAAAGAAATACAGCCATTGTTAGAGAGGTCACTTGGACGATTTTTGGAAATATTAGAAAGGGCTCGTGACAATGGAGAATCTGTAGATCTTTCATTGGGCTACCGGTGCGTCACAATTGATATGCTGTTAGGATATGCGTTCGGCCAGTCCCGCAAGGCCCTCAACTCCGCAGACTTTGATTTTCCCCCAGCAAAGTACATGGATGACGTTCTTTTCGGATCGCTGCTGGTGAAGCATTTTCCAGGAAGCCTAAAATTGATTTTTGGTGTCGTTCTCTATTTGCCGCGCCTTATCACCAAGAAACTTGTAATCTCATCAATGATTGATATGAAGGAGGTGAGTTTAGTTAATCTAATGAGAGAGCGCAAATGCTCACTGAGGACCCAGAGCTGCTGCGGGATGTTACTGGAGTTGATTGATAAACGAAAGCACCACAAACAATCCCATTCGACCATGTTCGATACCGCTATCGACCAAGTGATTTCAGAGTCTCCAAAAGCTCCGACAATTCAGGACTTAACTGCGGAAGCTTTGGTTCTTCTCTTTGCCGGTGGCGAAGCAACAGCAATTTCCTTGATAAAGGGTACCTTTCATATGCTGAAAGATGGCAACGAGTTTCAGAAACTGAAGAATGAGCTCCACTCCGCAATGCCCGATCCACAGACACAGATTACAATCGAGGAGTTGGGAAGACTCCCTTACCTTGTAAGCCTTTCAATAGTATGGAGTATGGTACGAGGTTCTGAATTACCTGTTTACAAATAATAGAGAGGGTTGGTTAAAGAGAGCCTCCGTTTCACCCAGGGGGCGCCAGGACGTCTTCCGAGGATCGTGCCCGACGGTGGAGTGACTCTATGTGGAGAATTCATCCCCGCAAAGGTAGCTGTGTGTTCCATAGCCTCTGGTAATATTCTAACCCACTCTGTACCTAGACAATTGTGTCGTCTAGTCATTATGTGTACCACTTTGATCCTCATGTCTTCAAGGACCCAATGCAGTTTCGCCCAGAGCGTTGGCTTAAAGACGAGGACCGTGAGCAGCTAGAAAAGCAGCTCCTTTCATTCTCACGCGGCTCTCGCGCCTGCATTGGCATCAAGTGCGTATCCAGTTTACTAAACACTGAAAGCATGGCTGACGGCTGTGAACCAGTCTCGCATATGCCGAACTGTACCTTGTTTTCGCGCACGTATTTCGGAGATTTAACTTCCGCCTCGATGGCACTACAGATGACGAGATGGAGCTCCGAGATTACTACGCGCCCATGGCAAAGGGGCATCTAAAGGTGATTCCCACTACTTCCGCTGCAGTGGGAGAAACGGAAGAGAGTTGGAAACCTAACATTGAGTTTGCAGCAAATTGAATGCAAACAACATCAGGAAAAATATCAATTAGTGTGCTTATTGGAAATCGAGGCTCGATCTAGTAAACCATCGTGCGTTATATACGGAATAAATTCCGTATGTAATCAGATTGATTTCCAATCAATCTGTAGCTCATCTTGTATATAAGCTCTCGAGTTTACGATGAGAAAGGAACGATCTAATCTTCCTCTGAATAACAACAGTGCTAGGTGCATAGCACTATCACACAGTAGTCTCTCCTAGCCCGGTCTTACGGAAACATGCAAGTGCCTTGAGTCGCCCAAGAAACCCGCCAGCTAGACCAATACACCTTGAGGCATGAATTTTGGTTCTGCTGTTCCACCGGATTTGTCCTGAACCCCTTGCGAGGTGAATTGTTATCCATGCTGGTATACAACTCCCTCTCCGCTTACGGCACAGAGGCCATTTTCAATTTCATCGCAGGAGCCGTAGGCTTTCAATTTTGGTATTGTATTATTATTATCGGTGTTGCTCGATGGGATTTCGTGGATTTGTATCCCCTTTAGCTGGCGGCGCTAGTCGTCGTTAGCGTCCTTTTTCTACCGCAAATGACACGCTCGCTTCATCTAATACCACACACCGTAGATTATATGAAATACACATCAACCTGACCCCGGGCTCAACGGTATTATGGGCTCAATGACATGTTTAACACTTCATGGCCGCGTTGAAGCTATTTATACCATCCCTGGGCTATACATGACATAATAAAGTGGCTGGTTATTATCTCAAGTCACCCAGCTATTATTCTTATTCCAATTTTTATTTCCAGATCTCTCTGTTGTGGCCCTCTGTGCCAGTATATGTGCAGCACACTCGTTGTGATTCAGAGGAAGATTAAAATGTTGTTATTCTCATCTGAAAACCTGAAGGTTGATATACAAGGTGAACACCAGACTGATTTCCAATCAATCAGGTTCTACAATCAATTGTGAAACTCTCCTACCAGATCGAGCCTTCGATTCGCAACATCCCCCCCCCCCCCCAGGATCGCTGTGCGAGCACGGCGATACTGCACTCGGGACGATCGACTAGGCATCGGTAAAACCACTATAACCCTATCGGGAGAAAGGGTGGAAAGAGCGCCAGTGGACGATCACGATGCCTTTCTTGGCTTTTCTGGAGCACCGTCTATACCGACTAACTGACAGAAGCTCGGAAATTCAGCCGGTCCCAGCGGCTGTGTTGAGTCCATCTGCAGCCTGTAGCTGAGTTAGGATATATTGTGTCAGAGCCTATGGGAGCCTAAGGCAGCAACCACGTGACCTGACCACAACACCAAGGAATCTCTGTATGATAGATTTAGACCTTAAGACAATCAATCCCATTACACGTGAGCTACACCAGCTCCATCATATTGAATATCAATCTCTCCGCTATCGAGCACGCTGCGTTGATAATTCATGTTGAAATGCTTGGTCCGTTTATGAACTGCTGACCTCATCCGTTGCTCCAGTAACGTGATTAATCACCGAGCGGCGCGCCACATTTTCCAGATCTTCATCGTTTTCAAACATCAAAACACTACTAAACGCGCATTTAAAATTATATAAAAAATTATACTAATTTTCATTAGCTCTTGTATTTATAATGTTTGATATGCTGCCGGATATCCAACCGATAACGAACAGATTGAGTTAGATATCCAAGTCCGCAATCCGCGGATGCGATGGATATCATATGACCTGTCTGGATGCTGCCGCTCCTTACAACTCTTGGCGAAGTGGTCTATGCTGACAACGTGTAAAGTCTAATTTTTACACTTTGAGTTTGGGGCACTTGCCTAGACTATTTATTGTAGATTAGGTGTTAACCAGTGTTAAAAGTCCGCAAGAAACCTCTCGGTATGAAAAAACTGTGTAAATGACCTCCGAACGGAAATATGAAGAGGTCGAGATATATAAGCTTGCTCGGTTACCTGCATCTGGCGCGGAAGGCTCCGTTAAATGTCTCGGCATTTTCCCCGCCACCTCTGGTCCACGGCTAGGGCCGTCGGTCTGTCCCGAGCACCCGGACAGCGCCGGGAATTCCCTGTAGACTAGAGAACGAGGAGGAATTCGCATATAATGCGCAAAGGGGCTTCTGATCCCTTCTCAATAGCTACATGTTCACTCTGACTTCCACGCACCGTTCAGATCTCTGACATTTCATCGCATTCCCCAGTCCAAGGTATCGGATCTAAAGCATAGCCCAACCCAATATTGGCCGTCTCACCTTGATACCAGCATAACTGCACCTCAGGAGTTCGCCTCATGGGAAACGACAAGAACGCCGGTGCCTATTATGCACCGACGGGCGGATTGCCCCCACAGTCACAGCTTCTTACCGACCGCGCCATGTTCACTGAAGCCTATGCGGTAATCCCGAAGGGCACATTCAGCGACATCGTGACGAGCCTCCTGCCCTTCTGGGACAAGACGCGGTTGTGGGTGATTGCACGTCCATTGTCGGGCTTTGCCGAAACCTTTTCGCAATACATCATGGAAGTGGAGCCGGGGGGCGGTAGTGACCGCGCTGAGCTAGATGACGGTGCAGAAGGTGTGCTGTTCGTAGTTGAAGGCCAAGTAACAATTACCATAGCACGCCAAACGCACGAGCTAGTCGAAGGCGGCTATGCCTATCTGCCCCCGAAGAGCGGCTGGACGCTACACAATGCGGGCGCGACCACCGCCCGTTTCCATTGGATACGCAAGGCCTATGAATATGTGGACGGGCTCGATACGCCCGAACCGCTTTTCCTCAATGAAAAGGATATCGCGCCTTCACCGATGCCGGACACCGACGGTGCGTGGGCAACCACACGCTTCGTCGACCCGAACGATCCGCGTCACGACATGCATGTCACTATCGTGACCTTCGAGCCGGGCGGGGTCATCCCATTCGCAGAAACCCATGTCATGGAACACGGGCTTTATGTACTGGAAGGTAAAGCCGTGTACCGACTTAATCAGGACTGGGTGGAGGTGGAAGCAGGTGACTTCATGTGGTTGCGCGCCTTCTGCCCGCAGGCCTGTTATGCGGGTGGCCCTGGGAGATTTCGCTACCTGCTCTATAAGGACGTGAACCGCCACATGAAGCTATTGCGATAGGTAATGTGGTGAGGGCAGAATGACATGTGAATTGCATACCATGCTACCACAGCAGGGAGGCTGCGGGTAAGATAGGAATTGCGGGACAGGGGTGAAGGCAGTCGGAATTGAAATAATGGCAATCCCGTCCTACAGAGGAACGTACAGGGAGTTGAGGTTATGCTGTGAAATAGAAGAGCTAATCAACTACTGCAAGCTATGTAGTCACTGTAGCCATCAGTCCAATATGGACTGCAAAGAATAGAAAGGGTATGAAGGTTCATGTGTATCCAAAGTGATCCAACAAAGTGGAGGATAGAGAAGAGGCGACTGATCTAAAAGTAGAATGGCAAATGGGGGCTTTAGGTGAGCATAATAAATTTCTCCTCCCTGCCCGCTACAGATATAAGCCCACGAGCTTATCCGCTCGCAGTTAACTGGCTTTAACACTCACTATGTTAACCGACAGTGGGAATAGTATATCAGAAATGTTGATCATCTTTATTTACTGATTATATATAGTACAACAGTATTCATTATCCGTAACACCATTATGCATCAACAATTCCTTTTGACCTTATCTAAAAGTGGCATACCCTTACCGCAATACCCTCACCATTCGCCAATCTAGATTCAGTATTTTATCCACCTATATAGGAGCGGAACAGGAGATTTACCCAAAAACGGTTTATCCATGCGGGTTCAAGGGTCAGGGAAGGGTTGGTCTTTTCAACCCGAAAATCTGCGGGTTAACGTAAAGGGTTATGTCGAGGTCTATACAGGACCTGGTTAAAACACAAGAAAATGTATACAAACAAATTAGCGAAAATTCGAATTTAGATATCTCAAGGCAGCGACATATTACAACCAATATGATAAGAATATGTCTATCAATATTTTTTCAGAAAAAGAAGGGTATATAGTCGTCGAGTTCTAGTTAAAGGCAAGAGACCCCGAGCCAGGGCCTAATTATGCATGATCTCTTTAGTGTTTACAGGTGGAGCCATCATTCGGGTCGCTTACTAACTTCTCTCCAGTAATATTCGTTGATACTGCAAGTAAGGAACGAGTAGAGTCATCCAGGATGAGCTTAGATGTCAGTCGCCTGTTCTTCTTTCTTATTGCGTTAAAGATGAAGACGACATGGCACCTGCGCCCTGGAGACATCATTTCCTCATTTCCTTACAGTTTCGAAGCTTTCCGCGCAAGAAGGGTGATTGGACACCAGTGGTATGCCGATCCCTGTCTTACTTCTGCCGACAACTTCAGGAAGCGTTCCCGGCACCCGCTCTCATCTGGAACTTGTAAGTCCTGGAGAGTTACCGTGTTGCGAAAGAGCCCGGTGTGGCCAGAAATACATGCTGGTACACAAGGGGATAAGGCTAGGAGGGATCTCCCCGAGTTCACGGCGTAAGATCTCCAACTCCTGTTGTCTGACATGTTCCTGTATTTTGCCAAGCCAGCTGGTCGAATTTTGCCATTAGTATTTCGATAAATCTTCAACCATAGCCACTATGACGGGCTTACTCGAAGCGAAGATTTACAGCCGTTAAGATTGATCTCTCAACATGTCCAAATTCTTCTCCTGCTTCTCCACGAATCACCGTCTTCCCGATATCAGCATCCTCCCTTTGCAGGTATCCGCCAGGTTCTATTAGACCATTATATTTAGAGGCGCTTCTTTCAGTGCCTTGGAATGATGAAGTTCCTGCTTACTCAGAAGTCTTGTTGCATGATGAATGAGTCGACATGGGTCATTATTTTACACAATGCAACACCAAAAGCGTAGATGGACCACCCCATATTTATGAACCAGGTGGTCAGGCACATCCTCGAAGGCATCAAGCTTGCTGAAGGTGATATTCACCGGCCAAAGTAATTCATGAGGGAACATTTCCTCAGCCAAATCATAGCCATCCAGTTAGGCACTTTCAGGAACTTGAGACGCCAAGTCTATAAGCCACATTCTGCCACAGCCACAAGAGACGTGTTAGCTCAAAGTCGCGCATCCAAAATGGCGATACCCACCCCGTGCCTGTGCCAATCTCTGCAGTTTTCATATCTAGAAATAGTATTTCAGGGTTCAGTATATAGCCGTTGTACATTTTCCAGAGAAGGTGTTGTGCGTTGAGCCTGGTGCAACCAACAAAGTTAACTTCTGGACGCGTTGTCGCATCTATAATCGTTGCATAAACCTCACAGGGCTTTATAGGTCACGCCCTAGTACATATATCATCCGCCATCCTGGAAGTATTCTAAAAAGAGCGAGATGAAAAGGTTGCGATTGGGTTGAGTCGCTCGTCACAAACCCAATTATCTTAACTCAACCAGACTAAAGCTTTTGCAGCTTTATAAGCTCTAGGTCCTCAAGTTCGGTGGCCTAAGCCCGTGATAATCTAGCAAAGCACACTAAATAATTAAAGGTCACGCCAGATAGTAGTTAAGGACATGCGGGTAAATACCTCAAGGCGTATTTGACAGTTAATGATACGGCACTAGTGCCCGCCAACCCACCATTTCCTGAGTAATCTTCCCATCTTTGGCTCGGAAATACTTGACTTGCACCACGAATCATCCAATCAACGCGCTGTTTGTCAGCAATGTGAGGTCACTATATACTCTCGTAATCACTATAGACTTCTTTTAATCAGCACCCATGTTATTCAAGGACTTTCTAAAAATGCTATGGTTGAAACAGAACACTATATATACTAAGTATCGGTCAGCCCTTTTCAGTTAACTGAATATCACTCTCACAATATCTGCCTGTTCTTATTGCATCCAAACCTAATCATGCCCTCCTATGTGATTACTGGCGCTAGTCGTGGTCTTGGGGTTAGTGACTACCTTATTTGTTTGCTTCGATGTGTATCGACTGACATAAATAGTTCGAGTTCATTCGATATCTTGCGCAGGATCCAAAGAACACTGTCATTGGCCTCGTCCGGAACAAGCCTGCGGCTGATGCAAAGACCAAGGAAGAGGGACTCCATGGCGTCTATATGGTCGAAGCTCAGTACACTGACATGTTATCCCTAAAGGTACGCGAATCTTCAATGGATGAATACGGCCTATGGTACTTATTCTGCCCAGAATGCTGCACAATCTGTCAAAGAGATTACCGGGGGTGGTCTGGACTATCTTGTAAACAATGCCGCCGTCGTTTCCCACATAAGCGAATTCAAAACCCTGGGGGACTTGTATGTATCGTCACTATACCAATCGAGTGAAATACGATTGCTGACAGTAGCTAGTGACGACGATTTTGAGACGCTGGAAAAGGAAATCATGGAATCACTGGAAATCAATCTTCTGGGGGTCATTAAGACAGTGCAAGCCTTTCTTCCTTTAATCCGCAACGGCAAGGACAAAAAGGTCATTACTATGTCCAGCGGCATGGCCGATATCGACTTGATCAATGCGACCGAAATTGCTTTCGCTAGCCCTTATGCTATCAGCAAGGGCGCTGTCAATGTCGCCATTGCCAAGTACAACGCCCTCTACAAAAAAGAGGGTATCCTCTTCCTCGCCATCAGCCCTGGCTATGTATCTACTGAACGAAACATGGGTATGACACGAGACGCACCCAAGGGCTGTTATGATTATACATACTAAAGTTCAGTTGCAGAAATCGCAGACATCGACAAAGCTGCTATTCTTGCGGGCAAGTTCGCCGAGTATGCGCCCCACTTTCGTCGCCCTCTAACACCCTGGGAGTCGGTCGCTGCTGTTCTTTCTGTCTCCAACAAAGCCTCGATAGCAAATGGAGATGGTGGTGCATTTATCTCACACCTAGGGAACAAACAGTGGTTGTAACTGGACTGAGTGAAACCGCGGTGGTTACTTGTAGAAACCATCATAGTCACACAGTGTATTATTATGTTACAAGCCAATACTCCTATAGAGAATCAACTTTTATCCAATTATAGTGTGATAAAACGAACCCACAAAATGGTTAGCCGTAAGGGGTAAACGGTCAAAAGCAGTCGTAAAATATGTAGGTAAGTTTTGTGGACCTTACCGCCACGAGCGTTTCCAAAAGAAGGCGCACGCCCGAGTGAAAAGAAAGTTGATGAGTCTCACATGACATGCTCACCGCCCCACATTATGTATTTACTAGGTCGTATTGACCACCGATCTGCGAATACAATTGTCAGGAATGCGGGATTCCGTATTACCTAGTAATCTACCGCTGAGTCTTAAGGCATGGTCTCATGCGATGAAAAGGTCCGATTTCTGATCTAATGATAAAAATAGGCCTAAAATGATCCTACAAATGACGCGAATACACGCGAGGCAATATAGAGATATCATGGTGTCGATAATGATCAAGGGCGCTCGCTAATCTAAATGGAGTAGGGCGGTGGCTGATAGCGGCGCCTTATTGATAATTTTGGTTGACAACAATCATCATACTAGGAGACCTTTAAGTTACAACGGGGTGGGTCATGACTAATGCGCCGCTGACCATCTCCCGGAACTGCTTGGACTTAATCGTTATTCTCTTCCCGCAAATATATTGGCTTTCATTGTTGACGGGGTATTGCTTGCCTAGCCAGTACTTTGCACCGGAATGTCTGCACCAAAGACACGGGGACCCTATCGTGTCGGGGTTCCATCAAAGCGGGGATGTTGGACTTGTCGCGGTGAGATGGCACAGATATTTTCTGGTTGAGATGGAGTGCAATACAATATAACCAGAATTCTAACCTCCCCTCAGATAGAAAGCTTAGCTGTGATATGGGGCGCCCGGGGTGCCGGAACTGCAGAGTGTCAATGCGCAACTGCCAGGGGTATGGCCTACGCTTGAGCTGGCCACCACACGGTTCCCGTAGATTCATTCAACACTCCGTTCAAGATAGTACGAATCTTGTGTCGGGTGGAGCTAAAAACATACATTTTATCAATACATTGATGGTGGATGTCGGACTACTCTATACGCCAAATCTTGGAGGTGTAGGTCAGTGACTAGATTGCGTCAGAAATAGTTTCTATAGGGGGATGGAGCCGCTGACTCTTGTTGGCTGTTGAGTTTCCTAGGGAAACTACCAATCCACAATACCTGTATCTTTCCACTATCGAACCTAGCAAATGCTGCGCGGCCAGCTGCTGGCGATGGGCACCACCTAGTGACATTTTGTACGGAACCACCATCAAGATTCTATGCAGGCTGATTCAACTGACCGTCGCTTACCTAGTTATGACGACCGTAATCAGTTCAATAACTCCCATTCGAACTGATGGCCTCAGGCTCTGGAAAATATTGTTCCAGCTCTCGTTCTCCGACGATTCACCTGCCTCAATGGCCGTCCTACGAGCAATGTTGTCTCTGTCGTCCTTGTATCGCTACGGTCATGGCGAGGAGGCTCTCCGATTAAAGGTGGCAGCTCTGAACTCTTTGAGAGCATCCATGAATGTAAACTCCACCAAGCCAAGAGAAATTTACCAGCATGTCGCCGTGGGCATGTTACTATGTGCCTTTGAGGTGCCTGTCCCGCTTCCGTTGTTTAAACAATGCTAATGAAATCAGATATACCTGCCATCTGAAAGCTCCTTCCAATGGCCCCTCTACGTTTCCGGAGCCAAAAGCATGCTCCATGCAATTTGCGATGGTGGACACCCCAAGCTAATGGAGGTGGACCTTCTTATCCTTTGGGTGCATTATCATGATATTCTGGGAAAGTTCACGTCGAGACATTGGAGGAATAAATCTGCGGAAAATGCTTCAATCTTCAAGGTGCCAGGTATGGCTTCTAGTTTAGCTTCTGTAGCGGATGAGCAGGTGAGAGAAGTGCCTTTTGTCGATGGATTTCTCGTTCATAGAGGTGGCAGGTTATGGGCATCTTTGGGTGCTCGCTGGAGATGATAAACCTGATCGCTCGAATGTCGAATTGCCGGTCCAACAGTAAACTACCCGGAGACCTTCATTCCACCGAGCGAGAATCCCTGGATTCCATTGAACACGACTTGATGGAAATTAAGCAAGACATCTCACACCTCACTGGAACTAATTCCCCGGAGGAAGTCGACCACGAGAGCAAGATATCCCAGCTTTACCGACTGGCAAGTCTGATCTATTTCGAGCGTGTTCTGAGGGAAACCCCTATCAGTACGCGAGTGGCAAGATGGTCCGCCGATGCTTTTGATATCATTCGGCGGCTGGACATATGCGAGCGACCATTTCCTCTGTTTTTCATAGCCTGTGAAGCACATACAGATGTACAACGGGAGATGGTTCTTTCTCTCTTGGAAAGGACACAGAGTCGATCTTGCCAGCGTAGGTTGCATGCTGTAAAACGGATGATAGAATTGATGTGGGTGCAGCATGACTTGTTTTCAGACCTAGGGGGGATGAACTATGTTGATGTTTTGAATACTGTCATGTCTTCAAACGAGCTTCTGCCTACGCTAGCTTAGTCCTTCAACAGGAAGAAGAAACAGAGAATGTCCCAGTAAAAAAGGAGAGCTAATGAGACTATCCATGCATGCAGCCAATTCAGTTGAACTACCTGGAAATTTCCTGATATTTAGCGTAAACCCGGTTTGGTAATCACGTGTGCTCAATTAGTCCTTTGATAGTATTGGAGTCAGTCTTATATCCTTGGCTTTGAACGATGGCAGCTATTTGCGAGTGGCAGCTAGCAGATCTTGACCCATATACTGATAGCTCCATATTTACAGTTTAGCTATTTTTAGTAAGGGTTGAAGTGTGCTCATATTTCAAACAGTTGCACAAATGAGATGTCCCAGGATGTGCTACGGAGCGTCACAATAGCAATATAGAGACTGAACCGAAAAAGATAGGATCAAAAGTATTATCACCCACTACCAGTTCTGGTTCCATTAACATGAGGAAAGCCATCTTGCCGCAACTTGGTTTGGTAGTGCTGCAAGTTAACACGTTGACGTATAATGACGAGCTTTCAAACCCGTGGGAATATTTTCTATATGTTATACTCTCTATGAGAGGTCCAAGAACTCCTTAAGGGTCTAGAATAGCCGAATTCAGTGCAAATGAGGACTAGAGGTCCATTTCTCTGTCCACAACCCAAAGGCCGACCTGCGTGCATAGCCCTTTCCCCTGTTCTTTACCAACGACGCTGTATGTGTCCATGTAACAAGGAAGATCTGGCAGCCTCCCTGCTACGAGATCTTCTCTTGAGTCATATGTGATCGGAATCTGGGATCTGTAGAAATCAGATTAACAGGTGTTTTCGAAGTGGAAGCTGTGGAGCACGTACCTCTCGTCGCTTCGGCAAACTCGAAGAACTTGCGCATCTACCGAGCGATTTCACGACACGAACCACACGACAACGAGACTGCTGGCGGTCGCCACAGTACATCCATCGATTGAGCCAGCGTCCAGCTATCCCAGTCCGATCTCTAATTATTTTTACGATTTTTGTGTTGATTATGGAAAGCGTTTAAATTTTAAGACTCGCAGCGGATATAGTGGTATAAAATGCTTTTATAGGCCAGTATAGAATAGCCGCTTATCTATTTAGGAATTTTATACTATATTTGATGAAGCAGTCATTTTAAACTTAATTCACAGTACTCGCTGTCCTTTTTTGCTCTTCTTAACCTCAGTGTGCCTCCAGCCAAATGGCGGTTAGAAAAGAGAGTAGAATTCTGTCACTTTTCTAATCTAATTTTATAGACTATAGCTAGAGATTGTTCTATTCTATCTTTTAGATAGTCTATACTGATATTCCGCCGAGTTAGTCTTTTATTATCTATAATAAGTTACTCTATATTAGACTTAGAAATGGGCTGGGTTGTCCGATGCAGTAACACGGTATGGGCCGGGTTACTTTCCTGCGTGGCCCACAGGTTGACGGATTATGTCAAGGGTACCTGCTCTTCAGCGTAGAGGACCTGTCAACTAGGTAAGGGTACGTAGGCTAGAGGAAAGGGAAAAATCAAAGGCAGGCAGCAGATACTATTCAGACAGGAGACTAATTCTTGACCTCCTACTACAACTAACGATTCGCTAATTTATAGCTGAAGGCTTCATGCCTAAAGGATTCAGAATCCCCCTTGGAAGTGAAACCGCCGTATGGCCTGATATTCCTCATTGGTGGCCGATTTTCTATGCACCTGAGTCAGGGTATCCTACAGTTATCAGGCCGAATCGCTATTTGATTTGTGACACTAGTAGCCTGCCTGCCCGAATCCGCATCCTTACAGTATCTCTCCCGTTATTATATATATTTCGGACACACCGTAAAGACTATTCTCTTGTCTTACTGTAGATATTAGTCTACTCGGACAGCTCGCACGCAGGCCAAGGCGCTGGTTATAGATATACAGTATACCATAGCCCTATCCTTGTTACCCAGGGATTTGGCCCTGATAGCCCTAAAATAGAGATCTATAATACAGAGCTTATAGATACAGTAGAGGAACTCCAAGCTGTAATTAATCAGCTATATATACAATATACTATTCACTTAACTGTCTTAATAATCTAATGGCAGCCAGTCTTCTGGCAGATAACATGCCGGTTGTTACGGGACGAATAAGCTGTTGCAACCTAAGCGTGCCTATTGAACAAAAAAATAGAGCTAATTGACTGGAATAACGCGTTGTACGAAATATTTGTGGGGTAAAGGCTTGGCAGCCATGCCTTAGGCAGAGCCTCCCATGTTATGAATCTATACGAGACCACGTGATCCTAGTGGCTTGGCCGGATCACCGGCTCCTAACCCCTGAAGGCTTTACCCAGTAGTTGAGAGCAGATGAAGCGATCAAGATAGTTGATATAGTCTTCCATAGAATTGAGCATCTATCGGAATGGCATCCGGTCCTCAGTAGGCTACGTACGTGTAACTGATACAGCCTCATTCTGCCCTTTTCCCCTGAAATCACAAGAAGCTTGATCATTCTTATCGCATGTTTCACATCTGCAACCTTGAATTGAAACTTGTCCTTTGTCCAACACCACTCCCCCAAAGCCATAAATCTGTTACTACATAAATCAGGTAAAAAACAATGCAGGTTGTCAGGAGTCACTTATTTCAGCCTCAATTATACCTAGGCCATCATGGCCAGGCAACCAGAACTTCTTAACCTTCAGTCCAACAGAGGCTAGGAGTTCCGTCCACATTTGTTGAGTTCGTTCCATACCAGGACAGAAGACCATTACCATCATGTCCATCGTTGTTTGACGGGAATCAGCATTTTGGTCTGGCAGGATATAGTCTTCAATCAGGATCTTTGAATACCCTCTCTTCATTGCTGCGGCTGTGTTTGTCAGGATTTTCTGACAGTTCTCATCGGACCAGTCATGCAGAATATGCTTAAAATAATAAGCACGGGCACCTAACATATTAAACCTTCATACTACACACTCAGTTGCAAAAGGGATGGCCTTACCTTTTACCGGCTGGGGACAAAAGAAGTCATATTTGACCTTCTTAATATCCACATCTAACTCCTGAATATCATCAATGACGAAAGGTAAATCCTCAAGGACAAGCTGTCCTGGTCCCATGGGAAAGCGCTGTTTAAACGCCCTGAGCTCATGGCCACGACCTCCGCCGACATCGACAAGAAAAGGGACATCCCCTTTCACAGCTCCATGTAATAAGCGCTCCTTGACTGGAAACCAGTCCGCCCAGTATATCATATCACCCCGGTCACCTTCCATAAAGCTATTGAAACGGTCCAAAGCCTGCGGATTCGCGGCTAGCCAATCCCAACAGGACAATGTTGTAGCGTAAGCATACTGAACAGGCCCTTTGGTAGGGTTCGTGGGGTTTTGGTAGCTAGTATGCTTAAGGAATATCGGGGTTTTGTGAATTGCAGGCAAGAAATCGGTAAATCTGTTGAACAATGAGAACCAGGCAAATGGAATTTATTACATAGTTTTCTTACATGCTGTCAAGAAGTCCAACGGATGCTTTTTCGGTCATCTGGTTTGATAAATACGTAGAGGTATATTTACCAGGCCCGTGCTCCTCCGCAAATCCATTCGCGACGAGAACTCGCATGATGCGTTCTGTTCGAAACTGTGAGTTAATACGAAACAAGTAGATTATATTCTACATTGACGCACCCACAAGTGCTTTCTCCGCATTCTTCGGCGCCGCAAGCTCCTTCCAAGTAACGAAGGATGTCGCCTTAGTCAAAACGATAAAGAGTTCCATATCAATGGCTATCTTAAGGGCCATAGGAACGGTAAGCTTGAGTAATAGACCCGATTAGTGTGAACCACAGAAAGATGGCATAGACCTTACTGAAAAGCCAATCTTGTGTATAACATCAGCCGGTTTTTCGATAGATCTAGCCAACTGTGTGACTTGTTTAAGAGCATAGAGGCGATCTTTTTCCCCTCCTGTTACTTGGTATTGAGAAATAGAATCTGAAACCTCTGCTGCCAGAGATGAAATCTGTTTGTGTGTGGAAAACTCCATAATAGCAGTTATAATGGTTCGGATCTGTTATGAAAGAAAGAGCAAGAAGTGGAACTGGTTACCTTATTATTCTGCCCTACGCCTGGTTATGGTTTTATATTGTGCTGGGAGAATGACCACACCATTGAGATGTATCAGATGACATGTAGGACACGTCAGTGCACTTACTCTAGAATGTGATAATATAAGATTATCATTTTCCACCATTATTATTTGCTAATTTAAAAGATAATAATCTATGGTTTAGAAGTTAGCCTATTGTGCTGGTAGGTGGCGCAACAGTAAATGCATCACCAGGAAAGCCTATCAAATATCCGGTTATTTGGGGAGCCATCTTGGTTCTTTTGAAGACAGACTACAGGCCCAGGCCCTCTTACTAGCGTAAAGGCTCTTGCTAAAGCCTAGCTATGGCTAACTTGCCAAGAACTTAGATAGTAGATCCTAGGGTTAGGTCTACTCTGGACAATACGGTAGGTGGGGAACATAACATCCAGTTTAATCCTAGTGTGCCCCAGCTGTATACAAATTGTTAAATTGTACGACTAGACCATTGAAAAGGCCCGGACACTTAAGGTGTCCCAATATGTGATATTTCAGGGCATTTTTAAGGTTAATATAAATATTAGCTTGGGCCACTAAAAAAGAGTTGTTATGTGGATTAGGGTATCGTTATGGGTATCGTGTCTGAGGCGTATAATTTGTCACTGATCGATTCTGTTCAGATAAGGACATTCCTCTGCGGGAGGGGGTTATATCACCAAATTTTCTTCAGAAATGAGGAACTGGATACTTGCTCGTGAAAAGCCTCATAGATAAGGCTCGATGCTATCTCGCGCAGGTACACGTATACAGTAGTATATCAGGGCAACCCCTACGGCGTTTTCGAAGAATTCCGAGCCGGACTTATTATTGTTATTATTAATCAACTTTAACGACTATATCGAGCCGTTGGCTATGACAGACACATGTGTCTAGGCAGTGGCCTAAGCCACTGGTCTCCGGTTTCTCTCTGCACGCTTCTGCCAGTTTCGGTTGCTGCGGACGCTGGTCCTGCTGGAGGCCCTACTTGAGGCCCTACTAGGGGCCCTGCTGGGATCGCTGCTTTCTAACAATCCAGCTGATGTTTCCGGGTCAAACGGTATCCCTAGGGGCCACTGGGACCCCTGGTGGATCGGTGTTGGGGTTGACGGTGGTATCTACCTCGGGGACAACCACCTCGATGCCCTCGGTATGCCACCACCATGGGGGTTTTGGACCTCCGCAGCGGTTTCTGGGGCCTTAGATGGCCCTAACCAATTGATTTACGTGTAAAAATGACGTGTTTTGATAGGGTGCTGATTGTGATGATCCAAGCGCTTCCCGATCATTCCTTCCAAGCTTCTACAGTGACTAGAAAGTATACCGTAGGTGATCACCTGACGAACGTTTTTTCTATACACCGACTTTTAGGCATAGATTTCAAACCACTACAACTCTTTCATCATGAGCTCAATTAAAGCGGCTTTAGGCTATATCAACTCGTTGGAGCCAGGAGAGAAGATAAATTACACTAAAATTACTGAAAAGTTTGGTGTAAGCCGACCTACACTATCAAAACAGTACTATGGTATACAAGGGTTACAAGAAGACAAATATAAAAGTCAGCGAGTTCTTGACAACCAACAACCTAAAGAGCTTATAAAATAGATTAATAAGCTTACTGATTGTGGCCTTTATCCTACACATGAAATGCTAAGAAATTTCGCCAAAGAAATTACTGGAAATAAGTGTTACGCCTGGATATTCGGGCAAGGGCTCTATGAGTGTTAGCTGCCTTGCGTTGCGATACCACTGTACCTTAAGCAATGAATCCAATGTGATTCTAAGTGTGATCCTATCCGGGATCCAACAGTATGACCTAATCTGAGATCCGACAATGTGCAATGATGTTCCGCGGGTAGCTCAAGTCCAAAAGGCCAGGCCTACTAAGTACATATACTCAGTAGTTAAGGAAGTGCGAACGAGTCGATTACTAACTTGATACCAAAGGTGTATCCTAAGTAACAATGATAATTGATCACGAAGAACTAAACTAAGTACATGAATGAGTGTCCTTATATATTCCTGTCCCTCATGTTGCTGCCATGATATATCATGTTGCTGACATGTTCCGATCGTAGCGCCGCCATGATATGTTATGTCGGTGACATATTCAGGTCACGTGGTTTTGCTAATTATGTGTACACGATAGTTGCTCACATAAGTGGGTGTTCCTTGGTGCTTTTTCCTTTCTCGGTGCTAGCGTCTGGTTCTTTAATTATTGTGTCACTGGTTCTGCCGCCCAGTCCCGCGTCCGATAAGTGCACTAGACAAGGGTCTGTAACAAGAAGCTTCAAAAGAAGAAGAAGCACCTAGCTAAAGAAGCTAATATCCAGCTTTAAAATAACTTTAAACAGACTAGAAAAGACAAGAATAAATCCTCTAAATCTCTTATAGCTAAAGATTATAAAGATACTGGTCATTTAACTGCTGATATTGTTGAAGATGCCCCTACAATACAAAATTGTCGAGAACAGCAGATTCGGCTACCAAAGCGTTTTCGGGATAATTAAAAGTAATCTATAGCTTCTCATTAAGCTTAACTTATATACTCCAAAATATTTCTATAAAATTCGAATTGTGTGTGGCTCTATGGCTTCTTTTGTAATGTGGTTGCTGTGTGAGAAATCGTTCGTCAGGTGGGACCGTTCGTCAGGTGATCACCTACGGTATTTGTTGTGAATCGAGATACGATGACCTTGACTTTCCTTGTCGAATCATGCTAATTTCTAATTATTTGGTATTCATGCATATATACCCTTAAGTTGTGGAAGCTGTAATGTGTAATAATTGAAATGTTAGGCCCAGAAAGAAGCCTGATGCATATGAAATACAAGGTACAGCTCATTTTGCGTATGCAGCTCCTTATGTTACCGATTATGTGGGATTGCTCTCTGTACCACATTGACTGCCGGTACCCATGCAGCCCCGGGTCTTGATACGAATCTATACGAGACACGTGATCGCCTAGTGGCTTGGCCGATCACCCAATTTCAGCCCCTGAAGGCTTTACCCATTAGTAGTAGAGACGACAAGCGGTTAAGATAGTCGATAGAGTCGTCCATAGAATAGGGTATCTATCGAAATGGCATCCGGTCCTCAGTAGGCTACGTACGTGTAGCTGATACAGCCTCATTCTGCTCATCTTTCCCCTGAGATCGCAACAGGTCTCAACAGGAAATCATTTGCATCTCCCGTCCCTTGAAGGCGTTCTAATAGTAAAAGAAAACGTCAGGTAGCCTTCTTTCTTACATCTTGGTTCAATTAGAATTCGAAAAAAGCGAGGTTGGAATTGTGTCCTAATATCACGCCCATGTAGTGTGGTAGGGTTCGGATCTGGTAGAATGATTCCTTATACCGGTATTGCTCGTTGAACATGTACACAGAACACATATGCGAGTTGCGAGATGGTCCACATCCTTGTCTATACACTATAGGTACTATTTGGCCTCTTCAACACTACTAAAGTTAATCGTCTGGTGACAGACACTGGACATATTTTCGTTACGGGAGCCCCCAGAACAGAAGATGTTATTGATGGTTATATAAAAATAGACATCTTCTATCCATACCTAAGGTCTCAGAGATATAGTATTCCTTGACACTGGCATATTATACTCACCTTCAGCCCACAGCACAGAAGGCCGTTATACCGGACAAAATGATACATGGCAAATTGGCATCTTGAGGGACCCGAAGACATTTAGAAATAGCGTTTTCTATCATGAGAACAGGCATTAAAGGGTGTACCGACACTTATTAGTCTCTCAATCAGCGCTTGAAGGCAGACACAGATTACCTTCAGTGCTACGAGTCATTTTCGAGGGGCACCGATATCGACAATTGAGGGAGGTTAGGTAAGCGTAGCGTGGGGATTTGCTAGTATCGTATGTACATAGATGCTACCTCCTAGTATAGAACCCATTCTTAGTGCCAAGGGAACCAAATCCTCACGACTCGCGAGGAGGGCAGATCACACTCGATTGAGCAAGCGCAAGACAACACCGACATCCATCTCGGGCAATATAATCAAAGCCAAAGACCTTTTACCAAGCTATAAGATAGGACCTTAGCGAAATCAACCTTGAAATGAGCTATTCTCTCTCATGTTTGGCTATTTCAAACGTACTTATTGAATATTCACATCCTGTTAACTGCCGTTCTCCGCACTCACCCAAAACTGTTGTGAGTCGAGGCTCTATCATGTAAATTGTAGAGCTTCATATCCGGAATAAGCTCCGTATAGGATCATATTGGTTTTCAAACTACCTGTGGTTAACCATGTATATAAACCCTCAAGTCTTCAGATGGAAATATAACAGTCAATCTTCCTCTGAAACGCAACAAAAGCATGTCAAAAATCGATGTGCATCACCACTTTTACCCCCCAGCTCTAGTGAAAGGTCGGTCAACTCTATGAACCCCTCCATCCAGTTCTATGTAGACTGAAAATGAGTAGCCCTGCAAGAAGCAGGAGGCGATCCGTCCGGTTGGTACATTCCTCCGTGGACCTTGGAACTGGATCAGGAGGTCATGAATCTGCTTGATGTCCGGACAACGATTCTATCGGTCACCGCACCAGGCGCCTGCATTCTCAAAGATTACAAAAGAGCGGCTTACCTAGCCCGTGAATGCAATGAATATACAGCTGCCCTTCGTGACGCGAGACCGTCCCAGTATGGGTTCTTCGCTTCACTTCCTTCGTTGTGCGCTACCCAGGCTGCGCTGAATGAGATCTCCTACGCGCTTGACACATTACAAGCGGACGGGGTAACACTCTTCACTCGTTACGGTAGCGGCCACCACTACCTCGGCCATATCTCCTTCCGGCCAATTTGGGCTGAACTGAGCCGTCGCAAAGCAGTGGTCTTTGTCCATCCCACTCATGCGGCCGACACACACTGGGTCAACTCATCGATGCCGCAGCCCATCTTTGACTACCCGCAGGAAACGGGACGGGCAGCAATGGATCTCATCACTAGTGGGGTGTTGCAGGCTTATCCTGGATGCAAAGTAATTCTCCCGCATGCTGGCGGCACGTTGCCATACCTTGTTCATCGCGCAGCATCCTTACTAGCCTCTATGCCCACAGGCTCTTGGCAGACGCAGGAAGAAATTACTGATGCCGCGCGTGAATTTTATTTTGACACTGCACTTTCTGGTAATGCAATTACATTGCCGGCTTTGCTGGCTTTTGCTAAACCAGGCCATGTCTTGTTTGGAAGCGACTTCCCGAACGTGCCTCGAGAGGAAATCACTCAGTTCACGACTTACATCGAGCGGAGGCTCTCAAATGATCAGCGCAGTTTCATATGTTCCGAAGCAGCTCTGGCACTATTCCCACGGCTAAGGCCACATTTAGAGAAGCTCTAAGTCCATTCATGACTACGGCTTCTAGGTTAACCACACTACCTAGAGAAGAGCCTCAAATAGTTAATCTGTGGCAGACAAATGCGATCGCATGCAGAGAGTAGCTGTATTCTTGGTAGTATCCACTCTTCCTGATGGCGTTGTAAGATATAGAATAGTAGGATTAAACCAGCCGCTGTGTGGCCAAACATGGTATTCCTCCGTATGGAGTCCTTTCTCAGCACTCTGTAACAGTGCACCTATTCTGGTACGTCAACAGCAACGGATTCTTTTTATCGACAGTAAAGTGATCATCACAAAATTGCCTCCGGGATCAGTCGTATTGTACGTGCCCTGTTCTATAAATGGAGGCGAGCTGGTCACCTTGGAGTCTCTATATCATCATCGGTAGTAGCGCCAGGCGGCGTGTACAGAGGGCAGGGACGTAGTCGACATGTCGGAAGCCCGCCCTAATTTACCTACCATATTAAGATATATATATTTCCAGTGTTCCTAGTAGTAGGGGCCTAATATTGGAATATATGTTATTCTAATAGCTAAAAATATGAATATACATAAGAATCAACAGAACCAGGTCCTAATATTTGGTATACCACCCCTTAGCCTGAATTACCACCTCAACGCGCCTGCCTACACTAACCTATTATAATTTTCAAGATATCCTGGCGAATTAAGTTCCCGGAACGTTCTAGCGCTTTCTATAGGAAGACATTTTCATTTTATCAGATACCTGGCAGTTTTCAATATCAGGCCTTGTCTAGGGCTTACCTGTGACAGGTACACCCAGTCATCCGTGGAGCTCGCTGCAGAAAAGGTATTTAAGAACTGCTATTTCATGAAATTCAATGGGGCAGGACTGCATTCTGAACTCCTTCTTTGCTGTTGCAGATCACCCAGTTTCTTTTCCAAGTCAGAAATATTTTGTTCTAACTACCAGTACATACTGTCTTTTTCATGGATTCCAGGCGCATAATATTCTTTGGGGGACAGGGGAGTCGGTCGTTATCTTCGAAGTCAATTTTGCGCCAAGATGCACAGAACCAATCTGCTGCAGTTTCACTTTTACTATCAAGTTGTCACGCTGCGTTTCTACGAGAAATCATACGGGCTCAATCACAAGAGTCTACTCCTACATGGGCAAATTTCGATGCTCCAAGCAATCCGGAATCTCTCTTGACTGTACCTCTTGCACACTCCAACAACCCAATCTTACAGGGGGTGTGTCTCTGCGTGAACCAGTTGGTTGGATATCTGCAGTATGACACCACGCTGGAGAAGAGCAAGCAGGCCACACCAATCGGATTCTGCTCCGGAATGCTTCCTGCAATGGTGTTAGCGTGCAGCGATACTGTGGAAGAATATATTCAGTTCAGCGGCGAAGCGGTTCGTCTTGCGTATTGGATAGGGTATCGCGCTGCAGAGCTGAGCCACCGTATTTCTGGAGAGCATTGGAAAATCCAGCCCTGGGCTTTATTAGTATCTGGAAAGAGTAAAGAGGTGATAGAGAGTTACGTGCGGGAATTCAATAGTGTGATTCCTGAATTATCTCAGATCGAGCTGGCGTCGAGATTCAGCAAAGCTTCTTACAGCCTTGTCGGCCCAAGCCATGCATTGGAGGCATTCCGATCCCAATATATTTCTACACTATCCACCTTGGACGCGGTGCACGTTTATGCCTTGTACCATGGAGGAAATAAAGGGATCAATGCATTGAATAATGTACTCGAAGATGTGAAGCGCAGAGATATTTTATTTCCATCGTCGACCACTATGAAGAGACCGATCTGGTCCTGTCACGACGCATCTTTGGTGGATGCGGCAATTCTTTCAACCTCCTCTCCACTGGAATATACCCTTCGCCTTATCCTGGTTGACACCGCTGACCTTTACAGCACCTGTCTCTCCGTTACCAATACGACCTCCTTTTCGGATAAGGACTGCGATATAGTTACCGTAGGACCGGGGGCAAATGCTTTGCTTGCATCAGCTTTCCGGGATATTTCTTGGCCGGGAAGAGCAAGTTGGGTAGATATCCCGGGGGCTCTTCGCGACGCTAATGCATCTCAGACAGATGAGTTTGCTATCGTCGGGATGTCTGTTAATTTTCCTCTAGGTGCTGGTAAAGACGCGTTCTGGAAAGTGATAGAAGATGGTTTAAATGCAGCGCAAGAAGTGAATCTCCCCACCCATGCGAACTTTTCGCCCTTGGGATCCTGAATCCGGCTGACAGACAACGTCCTTAGATACCAGGCACCAGATTCCAAGTAAACGACTATAAAGCCGAAAGCCCTAGTAGTCTACCACCTCGTGAGATACAGGCAACCGATGGAAACTTTCTTAGTGACCCATTTCAATTTGACCATGAGTACTTCGGCATCTCACCGCGAGAGGCCAGATCAATGGACCCACAGCAGAAACTACTTCTCCAGGGCGCAGCCCACGCCATGGATGATGCGGGATATGTACCAAATGGGGCTCCTTCTTTCAACCCTGAAACCATAGGGTGTTACATAGGAGCTGCCACTGATGATTATGTGCAAAACCTCGCCCGGCACATTGATGTATATTATTCGACAGGTAAGTTTCCTGTTTTCATAGGCATGGATAAAGCTCTTAACCGAGCCAGGGACCCTGCGCGCTTTCCTGAGCGGGAAGATATCGTACGCATATGGCTGGTCCGGACCATCCATTGTTATTGATACGGCATGCTCGTCTTCTCTTGTCTCTGTGGTGATGGCCTGTCGGGCTCTGGCCCAAGGGGATTGCACTACCGCATTGGCTGGTGGTGTGAACGTCATCACAAGCCCAGATGTAAGTCATAGCGATTTTTTTCTGTCAAAGATAGGAGATGCTAACTATACAGATGTATCTGGGTCTTTCGCGAGCTCATTTCTTAAGCCTGACAGGGCAGTGCAAGCCTTTTGATATCTCCGCGGATGGATATTGCCGTGCTGAAGGGTGCGGCCTTTTCGTGATCAAGAGGCTTTCGGTCGCAATCCATGAAGATGATCGGATTTACGGTGTTATTAAGGCAGCGGAGATAAACCAGAGCGGAAACGCGTCGTCCATCACCCACCCTCATGGTGCTACTCAACAGAAGCTTTTCCAGAGACTCCTTTCTCGGGGGAAGATTGATGCAAAGTCAATAAATGTAATCGAAGCCCACGGGACTGGAACACAGGTACGTTTATCATCTGTTCATTTTTTTTTTTTTTTGGAAAAATTCATGGCGCTGACTTTTGAAAAGGCCGGGGATGCAATTGAGACCTCTAGCATTGAATCAATATTTGGTGGTTCTGCTAGTCCAGTCTACCTAACTTCAGTCAAGGGCAACATTGGACACGCGGAGGCAGCATCCGGATCTGCGGGTTTAGCAAAGCTCTTAATGATGCTCAAGTGCTCGAAAATTCCACCGCAAGTAGGATTTAATACTCTGAACCCAAAGCTGCAGGCTTTGGTTGCTCGCAATATCCAGATTCCTACTGCCACTAGCGAGTGGGATCGCATTACACCTAACCTTCCGCGGCGTGCCTTGTTGAATAATTTTGGTGCAGCTGGTTCAAACGCTGCTCTCGTCGTTGAGGAATGCCGCTTAACCTCACACCGAAAGGACAAGAAATACACCCGAAGAGCTGCCTATAATCTCATTTTATCCGCAAAGAATGCCCATGCTCTCCTAGATCTTATCGATCGGTATTGCAATTTTCTTTGGAAGAAGGACATCGCTGTTCAAGACATTTGCTACACGACAACTGCTCGGCGGCAAAAGCATCGATATGTTCTTTCGCTTACTGGCGGGACCATAGAAGAGATTGTAGACCAGCTTCAACGACAAAGACCACTTAAAAGTCCTTTCGTCGACTACCAAAAAAAGCACCCAATTATTTTTGTCATCTCGGGGCAAGGTAGCTATTATTCAGGAATGGGACAACAACTCATGCTTACAGCACCGGTCTTTAAGGCCGAGATTGAGAAGTGCGACCTCGTACTCCAGCAAAATGGCTTTGCCGACATCATACCAAGTAAAGTACTGGATGGCTCTTTCAGCCCATCCTATGCCAAGGATTGGTTCCTACGGTCACAGGTCGCATGTTTTGTACTGGAATATGCCCTTGCATGTCTGTGGATATCATGGAGCATTCAACCAGACATTGTTATTGGCCATAGGTGAGTTATGATTCCAAAACGAATATACCATTTCCAGGGCAGATCTAACCATTCGCCAGCCTTGGAGAATATGCGGCTATGGTTGTTAGTGGAGCGCTGCCCCTCCAAGATGCTTTACTGCTCGTTGTGCAACGCGCAAAACTGATGGCATCGATGTGTCAGGTTGGGGAGTCTACTATGCTTGTGTGCAATACTTCGGCCTCATCCGTCGAGCAGACCATTGCAGACTCGGATTTGTCTCAACTCACAGTTGCCTGCGACAATAGTGTAACGGATTCTGTTGTTTCTGGGCCGGTCAATCAGGTGGACCAATTGGCCAAGCTCATCAAAGAGAAAGGAATCCGGTGTAAGAAACTGGATGTCCCTCTCGGCTTTCATTCATCTGCTTTGGATGTGATGCTGCCAGAATTAGAGGCCAAATGTGAAGGTCTCTATTTCTCTACCCCAAGGATTCCTTTGGGGTCTTGCTTCTATGGGCGAATTGTCCAAGAAGGCGATCTTAACCCCAGCTACCCTGTCCTACAGACAAGGGGAACAGTACGTTTCACAGAGCTTATCCATTCCCTCTTTAAGCAAGGTGAAGTCCAAAAAGGCACATTTATCGAAGTTGGTCCTAGTCCGACTACATTGCCCATGGTCCAAACCGGTTTCCCCTCGCAAGATGCAATGTTCTTGCCATCCCTTATAAAGGGCCAAGATCCCTGGACCAGCATAAGCCATTCCTTGCAACAAATGAGTTTACGATATGATTACATTCAGTGGCGTGGTGTTTTCGATGGCACAGATGCCCAAATTGTGGATCTTCCAGATTACCCATTTCAGACGGATTCTTTGTATGTGCCATTCAACGAGCCTGGCTTCGAGAAAAGTATATCTATAATTCCTAGAGCCTCAAGGCGGTATAATTTCCATTTATTGCAAGATGTGGTGAGTTCCGATTCGAGAAAAGGCTTGTTAACGTTCAGCACGAGCCTAGAGTCTCTTTCTAAGTATATTGAAGGCCATTCTGTAGGTGGCTTTCCGCTATGTCCGGCCTCAGTGTACCATGAAATGGTTCTGGAAGCAATGCATTATGAGGCCGGAGCACCTGATCAAGTGGCGCTGGTCAGTGACATCTCTTTTGGACGTCCCTTATTATACTCGCCCGAGATGAGGTCTTCGACTGTGCATTTGATGATAGACAAAACGTCGGTCGCTATGTTGGAAAGGAATGGGGGCGGATTCACCTTTTTGTCAGGTGCAGTATCCGGTTCTAATTCTGAGATGGTCGTGTGCTCTGGCCGAACAGCCTGGAAGCCCTACTCGGACACAAAAGCATATCTTAGGCGGAAGGCAGCCTACGCCCAAAGGAAGATGAAGCCTTTGCACCGAAACAAGAGTCAGATAAATATCCTGCGTCGCAATGTTATTTACAGCACTATCTTTCCTCGGGTAGTCGCCTACTCAAAGCCGTATCAGTCGATTAAGGAGCTGAGGGTCGCCGAGACTAATCTCGATGGTTGCGGTACATTTGAGGTGCCAGCAAGTGCTCTCAACAGAGGTATTGCGTCTCCGATTTTTATTGACACCATGCTGCATGCAACTGGCTTCATCGCCAACAGCCAGGCCAAACCGACTGATGCCTTCATTTGCAGTAAGGTCGAGTCCACCGTTGTGCTATATGCAGGCATCAACTCACAGGACACTTTTCTCATTTACTGCAGCCTGCTAGATTGCGGCGATAGGGAACGTATTGGGGAGGCTTTGGCAATGACGCTCGATGGAACGGTTGTTGCTAGCATTGAGGGCATTCACTTCAAGCGCCTAAATCTCAGGTCGTTCACCACTTACCTGTCTCGCCAGGTCGGTCGGAGGACTAGTGGCGATGCTCCGCGTCCAGTTGTACTTCAGCCTCCGCCAACGACGAAGCCTGAACCTATTTCGGTGCCTAATGTATTAGATCCAAGGAGTTCGGTGGTTAGCCTGATCTCCAATCTATGTGAACAGCCGGAGGAGGCAATTACCCCTGACAAGCGATTGGCGGACTTGGGGATTGACTCGCTCCTGCGAATTGAGCTCTCGCATTTGCTGAAACGTCAGTTTCATGATCTGAATACGGACATATTGATAGACTCGGAAACAGTTCAGGAGATCCAAAGATACATTGCCAACACTTGTGGTAGGCCACCCGGAGTGTCATTCGCCAACGAAGAATCCAAGAAGAGCAACTCCGACGATAGCGACGGTATTTCTACAATTATCGCGTCAGGCACGCTCACTTCTGATACAGAGCTGGTCACCACTCCAAACGACATGATTGATTTCCTCATGCAGTTGGTAGCTGAGACTTTTGGATTCAGCCTTTCCGACATCCGCTCCGACATGACACTTGAGTCCCTCGGAATGGATTCTTTAATGTTCATTGAATTCCAAGAAGTAATGCGAAAGGTGTCCGGCAAGGCGCTGACGCAGGACATATTGACTCCAGCTCTGACAATCAATGAGCTTGCGGAGGAACTAGCCGCAGATATCAGTTCACCCAGCAACGACGACTCAGGACGTCTGATTGAGAGGGCCACCAATAGGGCATTTTCGCCCCAGCCAGGAGAGGAGTATTTCCTTGTACATCTGCAGCAAGGATTAGACACGCTGCCGCCGTTGATCCTGTTCCATGATGGCAGCGGACTGATCGAAAAGTACAAGCGTCTGGCCAAGGTAGGGTGCAACGTGTTCGGTGTTCGCAACCCTGACTGGACGTCTCAGCCACACTGGGCAAGAGACCTGAAAGATATGGCACGTCGGTATGCTGCTGCTATTCCATCGATTGTCAAAGCAAAGCACGTAGTTCTCGGCGGTAGGCTCCCGTTGTCTGATATAGCGGACGATGGTGTGAAAATATACTAACATGCACAGGTTGGTCTTTTGGTGGTGTACTGGCCCATGAAGTTGCACAGCAACTAGACAAGATGGAGTATAATACATTGGCTGTTATCCTCATCGACTCCCCATGCCCTTTCAACCATCACCCTCTTCCTTCCCAGGTTGTTGACTACATTCTGGGTCCAGAAAGTCTGCCTCACTCTATTTTGAGCATCATGTCTTCTCAATTCCAAAGCCACACGCAGTTCCTTGCAGGTTACCGGATGCAAGGTCCCGTTCCACCAGCAAGGATGTATGCAATGTTGCACAGTGAACAGGTTCTTGACACCACTCGTCTATGCGGTATTGCATACCCGTGGCTTGAAAGTCGACAGGAACGGCTTTTAGCGCTTCAACAATGGGAGGACTTGCTCGGGCGCTCGCTGGTAGTGTATGGTATTCCTGGGAATCACTTTGAGCCATTCAACGATGAATATGTAAAACATTCTTCAACTTATACAATATACATTGAATGCTAACATCAGAAATTAGGTCCAGACTGTGTCTGAAAAGTTACAAGCCGCATATGAGTTGATGACGACGGGTGGTGCTCGAAACTGGAAATTAGATGACAATCGCTCTGTACACTTATACGAGCCCTAGATAATCACCGCCTCTTCCCCCCTCTTGATTTTTTTTTTTTTTTTTTTTTTTATTTTTTTTGATTTTTTTTTTTTTTTTTTTTTTTTTTTTTTGAAGATACTTGATCAAAATCTATTGCAGCTCTTCTATATCTAATCACTGCTAGTCTTGAAGACATATACTGCCGAATAATCCTCATCACCAACACCTGATTCTAACCTCTTCTTCTTCCCCCGAAGAAATGCTTTTTCGTCTTACAAATACTGGCCTTGGATCTTATTAATAGACTAAATCTGATTCAGCTCTAGGGCCAGTGGGAATTCCCATTTTCTTGACTCTTTGCTCTAGCCAGTGCCCTCGTTGATTTTAGTTGAAATATTTTAACTGTCTAGTATTGTTTCTAGAAGGCTTACTTAATTGTAACTTGTTCCAGGTTAAAATATAAACTATTATAGTGAGTCTTAGTGATGAAAGGACACAGATAACAGTAATGTATCTTGATAATTCAGCAATTTATTGATCTTATTTATGCGAAGAATCCCGTGGGTCTTCCATGAACGGTAGTAAGAGGGCCACGGAAATATCATGGAAGTAATTTCCCCAATACCTAAGAGAAATGGCAGTCTTAACTGTTGCATGAAAACCCTAAGCTCTGAAAAATATTTTGTTTGGGATACAGTATTTTACAAGATGTTTTAAATTTATGATTTCATTAGTGTCGTCGCAGCTTGTAATTGAAACTCATGTGCACGTAAATGGCCCAATGTCATTTGCAGAGACCCATGCGTACGTTTTGGACGATAATGCCGACTTGAGATTGCAGGCTGCTTATAATCAAGTCGTATTAAGCCTGATGTCATTTAGAGAGAAGCATATGCACATCGCGGCCCGATATATTATCCATCCTTCCCGATCATCAGCAAAACTGCAGAGCGAAACTGATATTAAAGAACTGGGGGCACGGACATAGTATCCTTCCTGCGGCTGACACACCAAAATACACGAGCGGCAATCTCAAATGGAAAGCTAGGTCCACGGCTATAAAGCTTATTCAAAAATTTAGTTTTTGTTCTTACTCTACCAATGTCACGAGGCCTTTCCAGATTCTTCGCCGGACAGGAGCATATCTAGTATCCTTCACGAACCAAAGGGGTGATTCGATGAAAATGAAATTATGTTGTGCTGTAGCCTACGGGAAGATTTCTTCCTGAGGTGAAATATGATGCTGTATATGCAACGGTCAACATTTAGATTGATTGATTAGCAATCAGTTCTGATAGTTCTGGGAATGAACAAAATTATCTGAACCTCGTATCGCAACAAGATTAGCAGTCATATTAAGCATAAACATTATCTGGTCTGAATATAAGACATAAACGTATTCCATACCTTCTAGTAAAGGGCCATTGCCATTACCATGTCGCGCTTTACAGGTCCTCGATACCATTAGCCAGACTAGTTTCCAAAGGTGTCCAACCCGCTTGGCCATAAAAGCTCTGAAGCAATTTCTCTGCTTTTCTTGATGGAAGAACATCTGTTAAATCTCGACACTCTTTTGCCGGCGGATCAGGGAGCATCTTGCTTGGTCGCAGCTTTTGTAGAGCGTAAATTATATCTTTAAGCTGAATCGGTGCGGCGAAGGCGAAAATTCGCTGTGATATCACCAACGGATCTAGTAAGGCGATTGCATGAAGGCGGGCAGTATCGGTAACATCAACGTACCATTCTGGTTAGGACATGTTAGAGGTTAACAAGGAACATAACTTGGAAATGAACATATTTTGCTTACGTGGGAAGAAGCGCGAAAACATAGATTGATCGCCTTTAACAAGGGCACGGATACACCCCATGCTTGATCCTTTAATTAAAGGATGAAGAACCCTGCCAGTCTAATGATATTGGTATCGACTTATTTATGCCTTAAATTAAAAGGTCTTTCATAAGTCTGGAGACTTACTGTGAAGTTAGGCAATACTGAGTTAAAAACAAACGATGGCTTGTGTTCATCGACCCACTTCCAGGCCTGGCGTTCCCCTTCCGTTTTCGAAGCAGCATAAACATGAAACCCTAACTGCTCAGCGGGCAAAGATTGATTTCTAGCTATTTGCACAGACAAATCATTCCACGTGCCTAAGAAAGACGTTCATCAGCCTGGCATATATGGACCGCTGGTTTTCAGGTATGGCTCTTACTCTCATCCACGCGCACACCCTCTGCGCCAACTATGGGGACTAGAGCAGCTGTAGATGAAGATGTGAGAACTACTCGCTTAACCGACGGCTGCTTTGATGCAGCTTCCAGGATATTTAGAGTAGCTCTCACAACCCAAGGTATTACTGCGTCATGGTCTGGATTAAAGGTCACATCTGAAGCCTAATGGCCGTTTCAGCGCATTTTCTCCATTTATTGGCAGAGGTGAAATTGGCGAACCACGTGTACTATTCCAGAGATTCCGTCCATAATTTGAGCCAGAAGCCTTCTATCATCGAAATCTGACAGCAGGACTGTGTCAAAGGAATGCTGACCAAATCTTTGCTTAAAAAGTTCGTCTAACCATGGCTTTGGCGAGCGAACCATCCCTCGTACCACATATCCTAGCTCAAGAAGTGAATTGACTACTTGAGATCCTATGTAGCCACTAGACCCGGTGACCAAAATATGTGACTTAGGTGGGAGTGCGACAGATCTGGGAGCCATGGAGGCTGCGGATATAGGGAAGGATAGAGTATACTGGAGAAAGCAGCTCATAAACCGAGAAACATTGTGTATCTTATAAAATAAAGCTATTGACCGTTAGCCATACTTAATACCACAAACCGATTCATATTGTTATCTTTAAGTGACGTCTCAGCGCAAGGGATGTGCGATTTAGCTTTGTTTGTATCTCGACAAAGTGACACAAAACAAAAGCAGCAGACTTGGTACGGATGCAAGGCACAAATAGTCCGTTTATTAGCGCGTCATGTACCACATAACTAATACATGCCTACCCGCCACTGGGGCAGGTGAAACAGAATAACCAGGAATACAAACAATATTAAAGCTCCCCTAGAATTACATATATTTCTCTGACAACACCTCACAATCACAGTAGACAGCTTAGTATATAACAAGCAATTCTTCAATGTTCACAGAATCCTTTCATTACTGCGAGGATCACATTCTTCAGTGACAGTCACCTCCTTGCAGCCAGAAGCTCACTCTAGAACACGCTACTGGGTGATGTACACACACACACATACACACACACACGCACAAAACTCCCCTTACTTCTTGAGATTGTATTAGCTCCGCTAATCTAAAGTGAGAAAATCTCGCTATGCGACTCTGGACTTGTGTTTCCTTAGGAGCCTCGGGTAGCATTTCGGCATTAGGGCTATCGCTAGGAGATAAAGGAGCACTAGGCCAGCCTTCAGCATCAGGAGGCACTTGGGGAATGGTCCATTCCTCGAATGCTCTTTCAGCATGAGGTTCTTCGGTAATAGGTTCAGGCTCTTAGGGCTCAGGCTTTTGAGGAAGAGAATTAATTAGGTCGATTCTGTTGAGATTTTCTGCTAGCTAATTATGCAGAAGAAGTCTATTCAGCTTCACCACCGCATCGTCCGATCTGTCGGCAAGATGACTTACCGTGCTAATCTTTCATAGAAGGTAAGCGAATCGATAGAGTCTCGAGAATCATTTACATCACAGCATTATCAAACTGATGTTCTCGGCCGAGAATACTCTCAAATTCGCACAGACAGAGCCCTGGATCTTCAGGCTTGAGTGATCGCTGTAAGTGTCCTTCAATATACCCTGTAAGCCATACTTCACCTAAAGGGAGGCTCGAAAAAACGTCCCTCGTCACCTTCAGTAACGTATCCGGTAAACGAGCCGGTCAACCCGCGCGTTTTTTCGCGCCTCCTAGAAATGAAACTATTCAACCACCAACCATACAGCCAAAAATGCCTAAAAACTCTAAAGCTCAAGCTGAGCAGGAAGGTAGGATCTTATTAGCCATTTCAGCTCTAAAAGATCAGAAATTAAACAGTATTCGGGAAGCCTCACGTCTTTTTAATATTCTTTATTCAACGCTTCAATAACGATTAAAGGGGCATACTTTTCGCGCTGAAGCACGCGCCAATGCCCATAAATTGGCTCAAAATGAAGAGAATTTATTAGCACAGTAGATTATATCATTAGGCCAACGTGGAGAAGCCCCCCACGGCCTACATATGTACAAGAAATGGCCAATATTCTACTTGCTAAACGTGGCGATACCAATCCTACTACTGTTAGTGAAAAATGCATATAATATTTGATTTAACGCAGAGATGGCCTGAAAACTCGCTTCTCCCGCTGCTATCCTATCAACACGCTAAGTGCTAGGATCCTGAACTTATATATAAGTGGTTCAATTGGGTTCAGATCACTATAATGCAGTATAGTATTACACGGACGATATCTATAACTTTAATGAAACTGGCTTTGCAATGGGCTTGATATCTACTACTAAAGTAGTTACCAGAGCATAAATATGTGGATGGCCTAAACTGCTACAGCCGGGAAATCTGGAATGGATTACTTCTATTAAGTATATTAACTCTACTGGTTGGGCTCTTCTACCTTGTATTATCTTTAAAGGCAAGGTCCATGCTGAGGGCTGGTATGAGATAGATCTACCACCAGATTGGCGTATAGAAACAAGTGCAAATAGCTGGACTACTGATAAAATAAGTCTGTATTGGTTATAGCAGGTTTTTGTACCTACTACTACTGGTCAATGTACTGGTCGATATGGTCTTTTGATACTTGATGGGCATGGCAGCCATTTGACACCTCAGTTTGACAAGATATGCAGTCAAAATAATATTATACCAATATGCATGCCTGCGCATCTGTCTCATCTACTTTAACCGCTTGATGTAGGTCGTTTTGGGCCGTTGAACCGTGTGTATAGACAGTTAATAGAGAATAAGATAGGACTAAGCTTTAACTATATTGATAAGCTTGACTTTCTTGGAGCCTTTTCTCTAGCAAGAGCTTAGACAGATACTGCGAGTAATATCTGCAGTAGATTCTCAGCTACTGGCCTTATTTCTTTTGATCCTGAGCGCGTGCTTTCTCAGCTTAATATAAAGCTTTAAACTACATCTCCAGGTAGTAGACCTAGTAGTAAGTCTACTAATTCAGCACCTAAGACACCTCACAGTCTCAGATAACAGCAGAAGCAAGAAGCTATATTGAAAAGGCTCCTTAGAGTATATATAAATAGTCCTGATTTACCTACAAAAGCTGTTATAAAGCGGCTTGTTAAAGGATGCGAACTATCTTTAAGTGAAGCTACAATTGTAAGGCAAGAAGTCAGGGAATTACACGCTGCGCAAGAACACTTAAAAGGAAAAAGCGCTTTGCTAGGCAGATTGCTTTAGAAGCAGGCGCTTCAGTCCAGGAAGCTCAGGAGCTTATACAAAGCAGAAGATCTACTAATGAAGCTATGTCTACTATATGAGTAGATGTGATGACCTGTATGTCACGTTGTTGGGCAGGCCTACTTCCTACAACACAATCCTTGTATGATAGTGTTTCTCCTCTCGTAGTTGAATTCAGTTGGAAATGCTACCATATCTAGCTATATACCTTGGGATAGCTATCTATGAATTAGCAGTCATCACAGTAGATATTGCTCCTACAGTAGAAAACCAGCGCGTACGCACTCCACCAAAGTACTCTGGCTGTGGTATTCTAGGCCATAAAATTACTCAATGTCCTCATCGTCAGAACAGTTGAACTTCCTATAGAAATGCAGAATTTTTGGCGTTTCGAATAGCTTCATTTCTAAGAGGCGCCAAAAAACGCGCGGGTTGACCGGCTCGCTTACCGGATACGTTATTTCAAGAACAGGGATCTCCTCATCTAATTGCTCCATTTTTTGTTTGGCAAGCATTTCAAGTTCAGGAAAGCTGTAATTTCTTGAGGCGTGGTACACTAGAACGCTCCTCTTGGATTCTCTGGCGATATTGGATGTGCCTTCGTCAAGAGGCGAGTTGACCAGTTGACCGCCTTATAGCCGCCTGTGGATAAGAGGTGCACTATGGTATGCCCGGCATCCTCGTGGATATCAGACATGGTGAGAGTTGAATATTCAAGAAATGCCAGCTCGAATTTTGGGGATTTCCAAAGGAAATGAGCCGGAAGGCCATATCGCTTATTGCCTATGGCGAAGGTAACAAACGGGATTCGTAGGGCCAGCGAACAAGTTAGAATGCGCTAATTGTAACTTATAGAAAAGGCATACGATGACAAGGGCCGATTAGAGTCAAGTTTTGGAGAAATCTCTAGAGACAGGGAACCCTAGCCACCTCATTCGACTGGCGCTGTTTCGTTTCCTTTTTTGCCATTTTTGGCGGTTTCATTTTGCCGGCTATCAAGCAATCCTTAGGCGACTTTTCCAGGGATATATGAAATTCAAAGATGAGAGAAAGCCCACCTACATCTAATATAGGTGGAAGATGAGAGAAGCAGGGTAATGCAGGTATGAGTTGTTCTGCAAGGCAGCCGGAACCCGTCATCTGTGCAGTGAGCAGCACTCTAGAACCAATTGCTGAACCGCGGTATGAGCCAGGCGACGACTTGCTGCAAATAACTGCCTTTTTTTCAACCCACGATGTCCATAGACCATGGGGATAGCTTATCCAATAGGCTTGCGTGTGGGGGTGATCGCCCGGGCCGTGAATGGAACAGGGCCGACCCGTGACTATCCCGAGTTGGCTCCGATGTAAGAAAAAAAATCAGCGGCGAAACTGGGGATGGGCGGGGTAATGGAGCTATACGTGATATGGTAGCATAGTGAGCAAGGCAACCTTACCCAACAATTGGCTTCAATAACCACCCTCCATTACGATACTTTCTGCGCCCCGTCCGTCACCCTTCGCATGTTCTGTTTGGGCATTTAGATTTTTGTTTTTCTACAACACAAAAACTGTTCTTAGTACCCCACGCTGCTGCTTAATGTCTAGCTAACAAATACGGACCTGTTGACAGGAATAGCAATAGTTATATGGTGGACCGATGTCACCACCGCATAGTTGAGTCTAATACCCCATTCGCCTCGAGCCTCAGTAACAAGCGTTAATGCGCTGCTCAGAACGGCGAGCCTAGGGAGTCTGGCGAGACCTAAGGGTTAGGGGGCGCAGCTCACGCACGGCCATGGCTAAACACTACGGGTCGTTGAAACGGCACGGTGGTCAGCCTTCGCAAGAGGGTCTGAATACAATCACGTCATAGGCAACCTCAAGTTATACCAATTCGCCGAGGAATTGCTTTCTTGTCCGCGGGAGTCTGAGGCTTAGATGAAATAATTCAGAGTCATGGGGTTTTCTTTAGTGGTTGACCGACATATTACCAAAGCAAACCGTATGATCCGTACTATGTAGATAGGTCGTAGAAAAGCAGGAAAGTATATAAATATCATTACATGTAACAAGAATTTGCAGTGATAAATAGTAGTGGAATTCAAAATAAGCAGCCCATATGCATACATGAAGTAACTCTGGCTTGTTGTGTTTTTATTTCTGATAACCCTATGCATTGAAGGGTTCGCGGTCCACTCGAGGCTAACCAATGCGGGCCGTTCAGCAACATGAGAAACGAACAGACAGCAGCACACCACAAATTCACGAGTGCCGTTTTCCTTTATGTCTCCCCACTGCCACGGCAACAAGGCATGGAGCCGTGGCCATGAACCCCTAAGTCCATTCCACTACGGGGTTATGTTTTTTGTTCGACCTACGAATTGTTAACTGAGTAACAAAAGATAACTCGTTCGCAAAGCTGACACTTGAAACATAGGGTCAGCGCTTTCGTCTCGCCGTTAGCTTTGCCAACTTCTGTAAGGACTCTCAGTATCATACGTGTACTTATAAGAAAGAAGGTCGGTAATACACGTGGAGCGGAAAGACCTAATCATGTGACAATTTCAGATGACTAAGCGAAAACAGAGTGGAGTCCACAAAAGGAGTGGATGGGTATCGGTGGTCCCGTTGACCTCAGTATCGCAATCAGGAGGGCCAGTGCGTTCAATGCTTACTTCCTATCGGGAATAGTAATTGATCATACCCAGGAATCTCAAGGAATAATATGATCCAATGAGGCTAGTGGGACTCAGAGCCGCTTATTGGTGCTTTAAGATGCTCACTCTTGATAAAAGTTCAGCATTGCAAAGCCCTCCCGTCAATCTGAGCATGGAATGGAGTCTCGCTAGCCGCTTTGAGCTAGACCAGGGAAGATCTCTCTGGCTCCAAAGCCCACGAGCCTCCAGATACTAAGCTCTCTTATAAGAATTATCACCCTTCAGAGCCGCTTTACGCGTTAGCGGTAGCTAATACACCACGCCCCATGTTTAGCGATATATGCACACCATCGCTGGCTGGCAGAAAATAATCTATACAATAATCGCGTCAACCCCGCCGCGAAATGCCGGCCAGAAGATCAACTCTGCTACAGTTGTATTTCCACAGCAGTGAGCTTTGAAGCTTATAACTTCCGTGCCAGTCATGTCGACGACTGTCGCCAAGCGCAAGCGTGCAAGGAAGGCATGCATCCCTTGCCATCAGCGTAAGCGAAAATGCGACACCGTGTATCCTTGTGGCATGTGCACCACCTACGGATACAGCTGCAGGTACACCGACGGCAACACCACTGGTACTACGGGCGGCGGCGTACCTATTCCGCCTCCAGCCAAGCGCGTCAGCCTCGACAGTGAAAGTCGTCTGACGAGTCGGGCCGCCACAGACCGCAGTCCGAGCAGCCGGTCTCATATGGAGCGAGACCGCCGCGAAGGCGACGGCTTGTCAACCAAGAGTCCCCCCGTCGTGGCCAGTGCGTCCCCGGGCATCTTCGACGAGCAGAAGTTCAGATACTCCGGAGCCTCAGCGGCCATGGCATTCCCGCACATCTTGGGTGTGGCTCTCGGCTCCGACAGCCCCCCAAAGATGCGGCCGTTCGCTTACAACTTTGGCATTCGTCCTGAGGAGGCATCCAATGCTCACCGCTTTCTGGGGAATCTTATCTCGGAGGAAGACCTTGGCTTTTTCTCGGGTACATTCTTCTCGGTATTGGGACCCATCAGCGACGTGATGGACCCAAGAATCTACGCCCAGCGATGTCGGGATTATTACCATGGTTCAGGCAGCAACGCGGTCGCCTTTGCTGCCGTGGCCGCTGGCATCGCTGCTCTCGGATCGTTCCTATCTCCCAACAGACACCCGCGGGAGTCTGACCTGGTGCAGTACACCAAAGCCATCCTCGATGATCCGGCCTCCATGCGTTTGCATGGCATCGACCACATCGTGGCATGGGGCATGCGAGTGCTTTACCTACGGGCAACGACCCGGCCCAGCAATGCCTGGATCGCTTCGTGCACGCAAATGCACCTCTGTGAAGCGATAGGGCTACATGAGGAAGAGAATATCAAGAAGATGGCGTCCATCGCTGGCGCCGCTGCCGTTGGACATGATGCGGACCGGCTGAGGAGGATCTTCTGGATCTCGTGGGCCGGGCATAACATGCTGTCCTATGAGTACGATCGTTCGCCTGTAGGATTTCGGGCCGTGACTTGCCAGCCTATCGTCTCGGTACCAGGGTCCGTTGCGGATCAGTTCGTAAAACTGATCCAGATCATCCCATCGCCCAATTCTCCGTTCCAGCTCGAATTGCAGCCTCCAACTCCGAGCGAGGAGCTATTTGAGCGTCTCAAGGCGCTGGATGAGCTCCAATTTGCCCATCCGTTCCTAGTAGTGACTAAGGCGGACATTGCGTTTTGCTTCTATCGACGCCTTTACCAGCTCAAAATCCGCATACCGGACGATATCATTAAACTTGTCATTGATAGTGGCAACGCCGCAGTGGAGGCGGCTGAGCAGCAAGCTAGCCAGGGTCGTCTGTTCTGGAATGTCATCGGCAGCGTCTTCCAGTATACCTGCATCCTGTTGGCCATTGACACGCCGGCGGCCTCCACCCACATTGGCACCGCATTCAAGGGCTTGGAGAACCTTGTCCAGGCTGCCGATACAGGACTGACGCGTGAGGCGTTGTCAGTGGCACGGCACCTACTCAGCCTTAATATGGCAAAGAAGCGAAAAGAACTTGCACATCTGGAAGCTGTCGAGGCAGGCTATGAATTCTTTCCGGCACCGCCGGTACCCGAGGCCTACACCACGGTGCCAGACATGGATTGGGAGATGGACTGGGATCAGTTCTTCATCGAGCCATATTTATCCATGCTCGGTCCTGACGTCCAGTTATAGTGACGTGGGTGTCGTTGGATATTAATTCACTCCAGTCAACAGAGATTCAATATGTGAATAATCAAACTAAGGTGTGATATTCTGTGATGGTTCAATGAAGTTCAGCTTTGTACCTATAATAATGTAGTACATATATAACCTTGGAAAATCAAACTTACTGCAATTGACTTATTTCCTGTACCCATGTTTTTGGACGCTCCAGAGAGTATTTAACGGGAGTCTTTGATAGAGGGCGTGTAGACCTATGACGCCTCGCCGCGAGGCGCAATAGAGTATATGCAAATTTGTGCTCCTCGTCGGAATTTTCTATCCTTATCATTCTAGAGGGTGAAGACATGCTCGGAGCTCCATCAGTCCGTCGGTCTGTAGCTGAATCATCAATGCCATGCGCCTTGTGCGGCTATTGCGGACTTAATCCCATACCGCCGCACCAGCCTATCAGGCAGTGTTAGCGGATCCCTGCGTGCGGCTGCTGCGGCGGAGAAGCGCGGGCTTATCAGCCTCCCACCATCGCCGTCTGTAGTTTGGCTGGCTTCGCCCGCCGTAGCTCCTTCGCTCCCGGTGCTATTATCTCCGGGCGAATCAAGATTGAAATTCCGACCTAATTAAGTCCGATATACTCTAGAATGTGGGGATCTTTTGTCGAGATTTTCGAATACGATCAGATATGACAAGGCTGAGATGGAGAGAACCTCAGAGAACTACAGCACTCGAGACTGGGTCTGAAATATATAAATAGACGGCCATTCCCTGCTCCAGAGAGGGACAGCCAGACACGTACCACTCTCTCATAGGCTTAAACACCTCAAAACGCCTCGTTCGACCATAATAGCAGCGATTAATACATTCCCAACAACCAACCCAACCATAATGCCCAAGTACGCCAAAAATCAGTGCGTCGACTTCAAAAACGCCATCGAGAGAGTCGCCATTGTCGGCGTAGGTAAACCCTTCAACAACACCACGCATACAACAAAACTAACAAACACACTTAGGCTGGAGGTACTATTGGATCGCATATTGCCAACGCCCTTCTAAAGACCGGAAAACACACAGTCACGGCCCTTTCCCGCAAAGACAGCGGTAACAGACTCCCCGAGGGCGTCCTAGTCGCCTCAGTCGACTACGATGATGAGGCCACCATTGTTGCCGCCCTCAAGGGCCAGCAATTTTTGATCATAACCATGGCCCCTACCGCGCCCCGGGACACCCACAGCAAGCTTGTCCAGGCGGCCGCCAAGGCCGGTATTCCCTACGTCATGCCTAACGGATATGGCGCCGACATTGACGACATTAAACTCGGCGAAGACACAATGCTGGGGCCCGTAGCCAAGGCCAACAGGGACGAGATTGAGAGGCTCGGCATGCAGTGGATCACAGTGTGCTGTGGGTTCTGGTACGATTACAGCTTGGCGGGCGGGGATTCGCGCTTTGGGTTCGACTTTGACAAGCGTTCCCTGACAATCTATGACGATGGCAACACCAAGAACTCGACGTCGACGTTATCGCAGGTTGGGCGCGCCGTGGCCAAGGTCCTGAGCCTCAATGAGCTTCCCGAGGACGAAAACGATAAGAGCCTTACTCTGTCGACGTTCCTGAACAAGGGCGTGTACATTAAGAGCTTTGTGGTCAGCCAAAACGACATGTTTGAGAGCGTCAAGCGTGTCACCGGCACCACCGACGCCGACTGGACGATTACCCACGAGGATACCAAGAAGCGATACGAAGATGGCCTGGCGCAAGTGAAAATGGGTAACATGGCTGGTTTTAGCAAGATGCTGTACGCAAGGGCGTTCTACCCAGATGTTTCTAATGATCTCTCGGTCAAGGCGCAGAATGAGCTGCTTGGATTGCCAGATGAGAGCCTGGATGAGTCTACCAAGCTTGGGATAGATTTGGTCAAGGAGCTGCAGCTTCGCGTTGAGCGTATGGCGGCCTAGAAAAACAGCATATACATATACAGAATTTGAACTAATTGGTGTATGGATATTAACGCGGGAATCACTTTGGCGAGAAGTCACTATTTTAAGAATCTGGTCCTATATCCCGGTCCTCAATTCAATCTGCTGCAATTCTGAGGGGGGGTGGGGGAGGTAATTGGTGGCTAACACAATCCCAACATACAACTTTTGATACTCGCCTTACGTGAGTGTGTGCGTCAGGTAGTTAGGTTATAGCACGTTTTTCCATTCGTCACTTTCCCGCTCGCGCGAGAGGAGGTACTTAGAGCTGGGAGGTACTATAGGTGCTTACGACGGACTTGATAACTAAATAGTCTCCCTTTTATATGGATATTACGCGCTAAACTAAATGTACAGTGGAGCTGGTCTTTCTTTCCGCCCCCCAAATTTCACAACATTATCAATACCTACTGGAAGACGCGCGCAAAACGCGCGTCCGCCCTGAAACGAGAACAAACAACGAGCGTAATAAAGGGCAAAAAGGAATGTTGAAGTGTCTGGAAGGAACCTGAAGGACACATGTCCGGTATATTATATCGTGAAAACAGGTTGCTACTGTGGTTTCTGATATCTGCCAAAACCACCCCATCGCCGAAGAACACGTGACGAAGATCAACCTGAGAAGATGTCGCACAGTAAAGCGATTGGAAAAGAAACTCCAGACCATATGCTCTAGGTGCGAAATTGCACCTTGCTCCAGGTTCAAGGTCTCAAGCGCCCGCCCAAATCGAGTCCTACGTGTGCTCCACCTGCAAAAGCGCGACCGCATTTTTACGCAGGTGACGGTCCAACGTTGGTCCGCGGCCAGATATCAGACAGTAAAATCTGAGCCTTGGAAATTGATTGACCCTTGATGCAATGGTGACGGACCGACCGCAGAAATAGGACTGTTGATAAATGTGGGAATGGTGCTGCCACACTCGAAAAAAAATGAGCCTAGCATGGTTGATCACCGAGAAAAGTCTGCGGTGCCTTCGAAAGCAGCACAAAATTAATGGTGAAATGAGTTAACGGGCTACAATCCGAGGGCCAGCTCTGTTAGGACTCTCACAGTACTCAAGGGTGATTGCAGCTGTGCAAGCAACAAGGCTGGCCATAGCACTATGAATACTCCAAATCTCTTGCCACCAGAGCAGTCACTTCGAAACACGCCCTAGTCAGCCATGGGCAAAGGACATCATAAGTTTCTCCTTCACTTCTCCAGCAGTATATACATTAAAATATATTTGGGCCTACATCCACATAGATTTTCCCTGCTAAGGACTGAACCTGGACTCTCATATGTACTTATGATCGAACTGACGCCCGCCGCCCCGCCTCTAGTTTGTCTATGCTCGATGAAGAACCCGCTTATGGCAGTAATGATGGGAGGCTTTCGTGGACTGAAGGATGGGGATATCTAGCCTAGATGGCCGAGTGTCCGTATTAGATCTATGCTGCTTGCTGTAAAGCCTGTCGCGATGGCGATCCGATGATTGATGTCCATAGCGGCCATAACTCAACTAGCGTGTGTCTAATGTCGGGAAGCTGTGGTGCTGTGGTGCGATGGCTGCAGCCTTAGGCACCAAGCCTTAGAGCAGGTGGCCTGGAGCCAAAGCCTTCCGGCCATAGGCGTAGGTCAAGTAAAGGAAAATACTGTCATAAAAATTATTCACTGCGTATACAAACAGGTCAAACATAAGCAATATCTAACTCAATAGCATATTGCCAACATTCTTGTGGTGTTGTCTTTTTGAGAAATGGTAGCATACGGTCATGGCTCACTCCTTACAAATGTAAATCTCCATACGCGCCATGTTCCTTTTCGAGACGAAGAACTTCTGATTCATACTGTTGATTTTCCATGTCTTTAGGACTTATAAACAACAGGCCGCATTTGTCAACAATTATAATAGCGATCATGCTAAGAGGGCCAACAAGAACTAGTGCCTGAGGACATTTCAGATCGACCGCAAAGACAGAAGCATGTATACCGAGCTGCCGTCTGGCGCGTCCTAGTTCTCTGAAAGGCACTGGAAGCCTGCTCATGATGAGAATCTGTTTTAGTGGGGATCCTGGGGTTTCTTACAGCTTCCCATACTGTTTCCGCGATATATAGCGTAAGTCCTGTTGGCCAAGGCGCCAGTCGATGCCCCGTAAGATTAAGTTCTTAGTTTCCATCCTGGGGCACACCTTTGGGGGGCAAATATTTATTGTATTTCAGATAGATACGTAGCGGGCGAAAGAAAGGTGAGGGGTCCCAAGGGAGATGTAAGAACCCAAGGTCATGGTATAGGAAATAACGTCTTAATACTCTAACCGTATTGTATGTTGCCATGCCTATCCATGTGACAGAGGAGCGGAGTTTGTCCTTGGCAATCTTTAGTAGGGCAGGAATGCTTAGGTAGACCTACTTTTGACTGTAATGCATGAGACGGTAGTAACCAATCTTCCTCCTGCATCTTTTACATCACCGACCCTCCAAAAACATCCCTCGTTGCTATAGCTTGTCTATAAACAGTCTGTGCACAGCAATCGACATTCATAAGAGAACTTACGATGACAATGGTTCACGATATTCGGTCTCTGGGTATACTCTAACAGATATGGCGTGATCGACTATTTTCAATGTAACTGCAACTCACTGATATTACCAAGGGAAAGTTCGGAACCAGTATGCAAATATGACAGGAAGTACGTAGTAGCCACCCGTTTATCCGCGAATGACTTGGCTTCGTGAGGTTCTCATGTCGCCGTCCAATGTGGTTAAGGCTGTTACATTTGCAACGCCAAGATGCAAATAGAGCCATTTAAAATGAGGAGTTGTCTGCTTTTTCAAAATTCGAGGTTTCGTACCGGTGTACCTAAATAACGAAACACGCAGTACTAGAGCTGCCTAGAGGGATATATGTACATCGCTGACTGAGTAATTGGAGTACTCAGTACGGCTACAGGTTTGTTGAATCTCAGCAGGCATTGAGCTTTGCTATAGGATAAGATGACCATGAACTATAGTATACACAGTGCACAATCATATCAGCCTTGCTGACACCTCTGACAAACGCGACGATATTGCAGGCGTTTGCACTGTTTGTACATAGCTTACCCAAATCGTCTCTTTGGTAGGTAAGCAGACCCGCCCTTCGTTGTGTTGGTCTGCCACACCTCAACGATAATTCCCACCTCAACAATAAATTTGAAGCTATTTAAGCTCCTATATACCACTACCATGCTGATTACTATTCTGATATTGAGATACCCTGAAGGCCTGTGAATTTGCTAAAAGACAAAAAAGCCTAATATCTCTGTGTTAGCGCGTCAATTTAACGTTCCTTATCAACGACTCCGAGCGCGTATTCTAGGCTGAGCTGGAAACTATATCTCTTACTTCTAGGGTCTGGAGGTGCTCTGTCAAGACTGATTTAGGAACAAGCGGTAAGCTGGTTATTCGCTGTCAGAGCTTATGGGAGCCTAAGGTGTGGAAGCGAGTGTATTCTTGTTCTATTGGGTGGCCGGAACGGCCAAACTATCTAAATAACTAGCTTACTAAATGATGACTAAGCGAGATTGAACCAATAGGGCATACGGTGCAGGACAACTGTATGTTCCAACACCCCCCCTTGAGCAAGCGAGTCATCATGAAATGAAGATAAAATAACTAAAATATTACCTGGAAGTAATAAAGTAATGTAGTAGGCAATTGCCTGGTACAGGAATTACTTATCCGAGCTCTGGAGACCTAGTAATTACATAAATTTAGAATAGGCTTCTGATCCTAGCAGCTTCATGAAGCTATTGACAACTATATTAGTTATAGGAATCTGTTTGATATAAATAATACCTTAATCAATTAGATTGTATATATAATAATATTGAATATCAATATACTTAGACTGCTTGGTCTATATATTAGAGATAGTAAGATTAATTATACCTTTATTATCTATATATATCAGTATACTAGATATAGATAATTTATTAAATAGTTAAAGATTCTTTATAATCTTACGAATCCAGTAGGCCTCTTATAATATCTTAGATACAGTAATATACTCAGCTTTATTTAAGCTAATTACTATATATATTTAATATTTTACTTGCTAGACTATCAGTTCTCTAGTAAGTTTAAAGATATATTTACCTACTAATCTATAGGCTTTAGTATATAAATCTCTCTAATCTAAATTGCTATATATCTCTAGGGGTCCAGTATTAGCTATAGATATTAAATTATAGTAATATTGAATTCCAAGTATATATATATCTTTCAGATACTTAAGTATATATATAAGAGCTGCCCAGCATTTAGCTATAGACACTGTATTAAACTCTATAAGAAAGTAAGCTACATAGTTAATATTAGGCCTAGTCTTTATAGTGAGATATTATAGACTGCCTGTCCTATACTAATATTTCTTGATATTTATAGTTAAATCTAGAGTATTATCTATTACAGTTTCAGGATCAAGCAGTGATTTGGTTAGGTAAGTATTATATAGTCTAAATAAGTTAATTAACTTATTAATATAGTTCTTCTATAATAGTTATATACTAGTAGATACTGTCTTGATATTTATATCTAGATATCTCTTGAATTCAGATACTTCTTTAATCTTAAATTAAGATTTTAAGTTCTTAAGTACTTTCTTAGTATCTTAAGTATCTTTACCAATAATTATAAAGTTATTAATATAAGTGGTGATATATAGCTTTTTAGTAGTATATATAAATAGACCTGAGTCATATAGTAAAACTCTGAATTCTATAGATTTAAGATAAGTATATAGATTATTATACTATAGATATATAGACAGGATTAGGCTATAGAGAGATTAGTAAAGTAAGTATACTAAGATATCTGGCTTTTCTTCTATAAATCTAAGTGATTAATTTATATAGATAGGATAATCTTTTAACTTTATATTTAAAAATATAAGAACTATATCTATTTATATAATATACCAGTCTTTCTAAGCACTGATAGCAAGTAGAATATATAATATAGTAGAATTAATAACTGAAATATATATAATCTCTTTAAATACTGATTTATTAAGAAGATTATTTCTAATAATCTATTATATCTTATAATAAATAGAATTATCAGAATTAAGCTTCTTTTTATATATCTATCTACCTGGAATAGAATATATTCTAGTAAGTATATTAGATTTCCTGATTAGATTCTAATAGTATTTCTTTTTTAATATATTAATCTTTTTTTATATTATATTGATCTATTTATCTGCTTTAGAGCTATTAACAGTCTTATAGTAGGATTTTAGCTTAGAAAAAGATAATTTAGTTAATTTAACTATTATAAATTCTTTTACTAGTTAGTAAAGATTATCTCTAGAGATAATCTCTATAGTATCCTTAGTAGATATAGATTTAAATACTGATATACATGGCTTTTTAATATCTACCTTCTTTATAATAGGATTAAATTCTTTATTAATTAAGATATTACTTATCTCTCTAAGCTGATTAATATCAGAATCCTAAATAATATAGATATAATTATCTTAATAGCTAATAATATATACTTTCTTAGTGCATAAATTAAGCTTACTAGTAAGCTTATCTATATATTTAGAAGCTTTATATAGATATATCCAAGCAGGTAAGCTAAATTTAATAAGATACTTAATATCTATATTACTATTGGTCTAAGCTAAATATAGTATAATATAAGAGTATGGTTAGATATTTAGATTACTAGTTAGTGCTATAGATCTTCTATTATTATATAGTGGGATTCTAGTAGATATTTAATTTAAATAATAGACAGCAGTATATAAGGCTTGTAACCAGAGCTATTAAGATAATCCTGAGTTATATAAAGTTATATATATATACTATAGAACTATTTAAATTCTGTATTCACTAACACTATCTTACTAGAGAGAATTAGCTGTAGTAGGTTTCTATACTAGACTATAGATTTAATATATCTTCTTTACTGTATCTATAAGAAACTTGTGATTACTTCAGATAAAAGTAAGTAATCTAAATCCTTAATTCTTAATATACTTAAGCTATTCTTAAAAGGTAGGGATAGCTTTATCTCTTATATATAGGATATAAACCTATCAGTATTAAGTAGTATTATTAGTGATCAGTATAAAATATCTTATATTCTTGATACCTGGCAGTGCTTCCTTATCTTTATAATCTAATATTATATTACTACCTGTGATATTAATATGGATTTATACTAGGATCTTTATAGTATATGAAGCAGGATTCTTTATATTCTGTCTTCTCTATTTTACTTATCTATATATATCACAGAAAGCTAGGATCTTTAGGTCTTTTATTCTTAAGGTCTTCTACTGCGCAAGCTTTAAAATTATGCGGAAATAAATATAAGATAAATATTAATACTATTCTTCTATAGTTACTAATAGTATAGTAGCTTAACTATTTTTTTAATTATTAATTTAATTATTCTTTTAATTATTCTATTAATTATTTTGTTGATTATTCTGTTAATTATTCTGTTAATTATTCTGTTAATTATTCTTTTAATTACTTTATATAGAGTTCTTTATATACTGATTTGATATTACTGTATAAGTAATTGGTCAGATCTTATATAGATCTGAATTCTTTTCTGGATAGGCACTAAGAGAAGTTTCTATAGATAATTTAATAAGAAAATACTTTTTATTAATATTATTAATTAGAGATATATTAAAATTCTGCTTATCTAACTATCTAAAAGATAGCAAATTAGATTATATTGTTAATATATATTAGATATTATAGATCTCTGTACTGTATATAGATACTGACCCAATTTCTAGGATCTTATATAAATGGCCACCGGCATCATTAATTAAGATATAAAAAAGCTTAAAATTAATAAATAGATTATATTTATTTACTATATAAAAGTCTGCAGTAGTATCTAGAAGCTATTAAGAGTCTTTAGACTATATAATTATAATTGAATTGGCTTGTATATAGTTATTACCTTGTAGGACTAATTCTGTACTGATTAATTAATCCTTATTATTATTAGATAATATATTTATAGTATAAGGATTCCTTAAATATTTAGATACTTTCTCTAGATATAGCTTCTAACAGTCTTTAGGAGTATAAAATCCTTAGCTATATACTTAATATAATATCTTTATATAAATTAGCTTTTAATTATTATACTTACTTTTATCTTTTAGGTTAGAAAAGTTTATTTAATATTTAGTCTTAAGCTTAAATTCTTAAGAGTTCTGAGAAATATATTTATTAGAGCTAGATATTAAGAATACTTAAGTAACTAGCTAATCTATAAGAGTTACTATATCTAAATTCTTTATTAATTCTTTACTATAGGTATAGAACTTATCTAGCTAATTATAAACAAAATTTTACTGTTATTAGTCTAAGAAATAGATAAAGATATTATAAATTATATTATTAAAAGATAGATTTATTCTATAAAGCTTTACTGTAATTTACTAAAAATTATAGATTATTACTAGATAATTACTTTGAGAATTAATATTTAATAAGACTTTAACTGTTATAAGTCTCTTCTCTGCTATAGATAGGCTATATATTAATATGATTCTAG